GTTATCTTCATCATCTTCAAATTCGATGCTTTGGGCCTAAAACCTCGCCAGTTCAGCGCACTCCTCAAGGCGCAAACTTATCAGAGGCTGAGCTGAATTTGATTGCATGGATGTCACCCTGAGGCATCCTGACTTCCTTAGCGGTTTGAATTGAGTTCTCCTGCGAAATCACTTTGACCTGTTTTTTCAAGAGTCTGGGGAACTACAAGTTTGTCGTCAGGCTCATCTTTATTTTTCGGTGGGATGGTTTGGTATATTTATATTTATCGTGTGCCTGCAGGAGCATGTGTAAAGGTATCTTTACTTCACTGTTATAGCTTTGAGTTCGTGCCTACTTGATCGCGTCGCCATTAACGTTTTGGGGTTTGCTGGGAAGACGCAGGTTGGTGTAAGTTTGATTTCACTGGTAGTTCCAGTTCTAGCTTTCCCATCACGCTACAGTCTGGTACGCTTTGTGTCGTAGTCATGTATCCAATGTCTTATGAAGTTTATGATGACAACTGCCCATTGAACAACTTCATATCGCACTCTTTCAGTCTAAGTTCAGTAAATGCTCTGACAAGAGAGGTCGTCTCGTGACCTTGTCTGATTTGGAATCTGGTGGCTAATCTCACTCCGCTGGAGGCCTGCCCTGGCTGGTTCGCCCGAATTGCTCTACGGACAATTTGGCCACACCGGACAACCTGTCCACGGTTATGGATGGAGTGACGAAAACCTGTGTGTCTGGGCTTGAACTGAGTTGTTGCTCCCATGATATTAAAACTTGCTCTCTTTAGTGAGCGAGTTCTTCGATTGCGAGGACCCTTTGACGCATAGCGGTTATCCCGGATGGCACTTGTTCCTTCGGGACCAGGACCCCTTGGCAAAGAAAGTTGATCAAGTTGTCTGGCATCACCTGCATTTGTAAAAGATTCAAAAATAATGGTTGCAGTTTGGGACGGATGATGCGGCACTGTGCCGATTCTGCGAAGCGACAGCAGCGGCGGTGGTGGTAGCTGCGCTAAAAACGCCCTCACTGGAGATTCTGTAGATGCAGGAGCAGAATTCTCACTCGCAGAGAAGGAAACTCTTAACCATTTCCAGCCTGCTGTGGACACATTCTCCTCCCATTCCATAGTCTCAGTCTTCAGACCGGCACAGCCTGAGGTTTTATGCAGTGGCTGTGTGATGAAGACATGGTCGGACCCATAATGGAATCTCGTAAAGTCAAATCCTCTACGAACCGTTAACAGCTCCTCCCACTCCATTTTTTCCTCTTCATGGAGATCCACACCCATGTCTGTGTCATCCTTGTCATCAGTCTCCATGGCGATCCCAGCATCATCACAATCATCATAGTCAACCTCCAAGATGTTCACCTCCACCTTGTCTATCTCCATAGAAACGGATGCGTCACTCTCAATTTCCATGACCTTGTGTGCACTTTCACCCGTCTCCATGTCCTCATCCACGTTTGTTTCATCTGTTTCCATATCCGTTGCACCATCGTTGCCGTAGCTGAAATCCCCAGAGGAGCTCTGACTATAAGATCTCTTCCCTCGAACATTGTTGGAATGGTTGCGGTTGGGAGACGAGCTTTGCAAAAGGTGTGCGTGACAGGTGTCTAATGCTGGAGAAGAAGAAAAACAAAAACTACAACTTGAGTTTGAAAGCTGCATTCATAAATAAAACAGTCTTTTCCTACAGCCTTCTCCCTCATTTGAAAATGATTTCTGTCGTGTTCGTGGCATGCACACAAGAGTGTGATATGAACAGTGCCCGATATTCCAACTCAAGCAAATCTCGCTTCAAACGTTTCGTGATGTCGAATTTGCTTCAATTTTGCATATTTCTGAAGTTTGAACTGGCCTTGATACCTGTATTTCTTTTCATGGACAGTCCCTCTACAAATAGAGGTTAAAAATGGTCATCGATTCACTTGCAAGACTATGTGAGTCCCCTCCTCTGTCCATAGAATCCATCGACAGACCGGGTACCGCATGTTAAAGCAATTAAAACAAGTTTATGCAAGTATAATTGATCTTGTCACCATTTTGGATGCGTTTACACAATAACTCAGAATCTAGAAAAAGTAATACGTCGCTGGCGTCAACTGATATTCCATCAGCAGAAATTCACTAAATGCCCAACTCACCGGTATTGCAAGTTATCTGCGTCCTCAAATGATTGGTTCGGAACAACATCCGGACACCGATGTAGTAGGCGATGATGAGACAGCAGCCGGTCCCAGCCAAGTTAGCCGTGACATGATGTGATTCCCTAAAGAGGACCAGGAACGAAAATCCTGCTAGCACATGAAAATCACCGATGTGATGACTCCACGGCAATCTTCCTCTCAGGGAGCAGGATCTGAGTGGTGCTGGGACAGAATTGTCCAACCGGGTCACCTGGCTGCTGGTGGTGTCTGGTGACTTGATGGTAGGAGTTTTAAGGTAGATCGTATCTCTAAGAAAGGAAATGATCCAAGCCTGCACAGAGACCTCAACTGTCGGCAAGAAGATGATCGGAAGCACCCTAAGGAGTACTGCGTGGTTTGGCAAGATCACGGCCCGCAGCCCAATCCGGGGACTATTCATCAACTGTATGGGGAACCCAGCAAGGTGGAGCCGCTGTTTATGAAGGCAGTGATGATATGGTGGGATCTTCCGGGATTTGATATGATGACCGGTTTGGAAGAGTTGGACAAGTAGAGCGAGGAGTCCAAAGAAGCTGGTAAAGATGGACTCGTGGCTCAAGATAGGAAATGCCAGTTGTTCTCCATCAACGATCCAACTCGTGGCGAAATGTCGCAGGGAAAATGTGACTCCCCGTTCAGTCCCAAGGAGTAAACCAAATGATTGCTTCGTGGTGTTTATTAGAAGTGAAGCCATCCCTGGTCTTGCCGTTGGCACTCTGAGCTTGAAAGATGACGTTTTCCTCCTGCAGCTGCAACAACGACGTGGAGCGATACTCCATGGAGGAAGATGACTTTCAGCAGGTGTTCCATTGGTTAGGATAAGTTTGTTTGCAGCATCCATGGTTCTCCTCAGGCAAAAGCTCGGAAACATGTACACTAGTTCTGAGGCAATTATCGAGCTATAAACGTTTGCACTGTTGTCGTCAACAAAGGTCGAAATTCCCTCGGAAACTTGGCTTTGCTCAACAGGAGGTCCACCTATACGATCAGGAGTAATCCATACGGAAGGGGAACTACCATCAGGTGGCCGTAAGTGGCGGTTAGTGGTGGTCTCGTCTTGTGGAAGTATCCCGGTATCTGGTCTGCTGGCGCACTCATCTCAAGATCGGCTGCGGATGGTGGTGCTACCTTACAACAAGTGTCATCAGTTGACATCTTCCACCAAAGGACTCGAGGAAGGTGAAAGATAGGCCTAGGCCTATCGGCAGGGTAGGGATTCATTAGGACCATAGGCCTCGATGTTGGAGGCACTGGAAAGGACAAATGGGTTGGTCTCCAGACGACGTAGATGGGACGAGCATCAGGTCAGTGGCGGTCCCCAGGCAAAAGTCGGGCACGGCGGTAACTCGGAGGATGAGTGTCAAGGGGTCATGGTCTTCATGGTCACGTACAGCGTTCCAAGCTTCCACAATAACAGTCTTAATTATTTTCAGTAAGATGATAATGCTCAGTAAAACCGCCAATGCAATGGTAAAATTGTAAACCTTGCTCGATGAGATCAAACAAGGTTCGTGTGTTTATCCCATCCATGTGGATACTTCTTACGCGCGTCGTCAATTGTGATGCCAACTTGGAACAATCAGGGGTCGGCAGCATGCGCATAAGTTTCCTGTTCGGCAAGCGTCAGTTTTAGAGACCATTGTTGCGTCACGTGGCACTGCATACGTGCGGCCCATTTCAAACGTCGTGCTTATGCCGTGCCGAATACCAAAAAGTCAAGTTGAACTGTATTCGACACAGCACAAGCACGACGTTTGAAACGGGCCTTACATTACTACTGACATTATTATTGAGCGCATCATCTGTGACATTAGCCCATTGATCTCTGTAATTGAGATCAATGCATTATCCCAACAGCACATTTTGCGTGTCCCAGCCCAGTAGCGTCGTCTACATGCAAAATCAATGTAGGCTCAACATTAACAATAAATAAAAAAATCGAACTCGAGTAGTTTTTGTAAAATTTCATAGTTGTTATTCATTTTATTGTAAACGACCACTATCTTCAGTAATGCCATATTTATAAAGATCTACCAGAAAGGTTTACTCCCAATTATTGGGGTTGATTTTAAAAATAGCAAAAAAAATCGCATATGTCATTGCATATTCTGTCGAGCTTTTGTTTGATACGCCATGCGAACATGATCTGCGTCGTGACGTGTGTTTAAAATTAGCCACATTGTTCAAGCTCACCACAGATTTTAAATGTTGAATTAATAATTCCACATTTGGATGAAAAAAAAAACAGTGCGATTAGAATCTTCCCCGGAGAGGACAAGGCCTCCTCTCTGAAGAAACCCTTACATCGAACTGAGCTGACCCCAAAATTAAACTAATGGACAATTTTATAAACTGGAAAAAATCTGTACAGGATGGCGCAAACGGGTGGCAGAATTTGCTCCAAAAGTTGTAAGCTTCCTGCTCACACCACCAGACTCGACTGTACACCGACAAAACACACAACAAAGACCAGGTAAGCAAGGCCATTAATGTTTTCCTTTCCATTTTAAAGCTTGATGGGAAAGTTCAAGAACGGGCATGAGGGTTGGGGATATCATTTCATCAAAGGACAGCTTATCAGAAATCAACATATTTACTCCATTTATACATATCCAAGATTCACTATATCTCAGAGAAATTCCTGTATTAAACTAACAAAACAGGAAGAACATCCTCTTTAAGGACGCACCGCATTTCCTTTCAAATAAACTGACAATCTTCGTCAAAAAATCCTTCTCAAACCTATCAACTGGGCACACTGGAAGTAATATTTTTAAACACTATTTACAATTAGCATACAACAACCGTCACAGAGACTAAGTTCCTTTTCCATGCAGGAAACAAAAATATTTCTAATGCTGCAAATATACAATTTGAGTTTGTGAGAAATTTTCGTCTACAAGGAGCAGATAGTGTCCTTTAAATTAAGGGAAAGATTCGGGTTCCGCACTAATTCTGTAACCATGTTCTCTTTACAAAGAGGGCCACTATTAATTTCATCCTGAATACAATCTTTTCAATGCCTTCTAATGAAGTCATCTGTTATTAGCAGAATGTCAGTTTGGTATAATACAAAAACATACAAATTTGTCAACAATCTTGCACCAGTCTAGAAAAAGTGTGTCAAACTTTAAGTTCAAACTTAAATTTTCTCAATACTTCTTGAAAAAAGACTGGCTTGTTTAAGCTGCGAGTGTGCGTAAACGACTGGGGAAGACAGTTTTGACTGATGCAAGTATCACTTGGGCCACTCAGAACGGATTTTAGCACAATCCTGCACACTATAAACTAATGAAGTTCAAGTAAGTATTGTGACAGAGGATTCATCTAGATTGTGCCCAAACTCAAGTAGAAGGGATTCTTTTATCTACATAAACATTCGAGATGTGTACAGTGGTTAATCCCCTGGTGGGTGTGGTTGGTATTTACATGTGCATAGAAATAATTGTCTTTTGAAATTCGGAGAATGTAAAATCAAAATAAATCACAAATGCCCCCAGCAAGGTCGGACGGAATTGCAAGTCTTGATCATGCTACCATGCCTCTTTAGGTTTCTAGGCCCCAGTTCTGTTGGCTGTTCATCTTCATGGTGTTCCAAGTCTTGCGGTGGGTTTTGAGAGCCATCTGCATGGGAGACAAAAGCCCGAGTGTTGTTTAGAATGCACATGCAATAGTGTAAATGACAAACAGTGCAGTTCCTCTTTATCTCTGTCAATGTTCACCAGATCAGCTTCCATGTGAGTGGCAGTAAAATATCTACATGTACATGAATGTATACCGAGTCTAGTGGAACATTTCTTCAGTTTAGAATTCATGCCGAATCAGAAATGTGAGCCAAATCAAACTTTGTGCTTGAAAAAGCAGAACATGTTAAATACAAAAAATTATACCACAAACAATACAGCAGATCCACAAACTCATTCGAGCTGATTTTGACTTTTACAACCCTTGAAATACACTTCCATACATCTCCCAAAAATATTGCCAACAGATTCTTTCTGGTCACCAAAGAGACAACACAAATGCAGGCCACACCATAGCTGCTACGGTAAACATTTGTCAGCTGCTCATAGCACTTAAGCTGTTTCGCACTAACTGTTCAACTTGAGCATTTTTCATAGGGCTTTTGTCATGTAGAGTATGCTTCCCTTTTTTCAGGGTCAACAGCCTACCTCTGCAATGTCCACTTTCCTCTCCCAGCTCTTGACTGTCTTGGCCAGCTCGTACAGGTCGGCCTTCTCCTGGACGTACTCCACAACGTCAGGCACTCGGAAGTCTCCAAGCTGCTGCCGCAGCCTCCGATTCAACTCTTCTGCTTTGGCTCGCTCCTGGTGGGAGGAGAATGGGAACAAAAATTCGTGGAATGATGAGTTTCTCCTCACTCGCATGTTTCAAAGACTCCAACTGGAGTTCTACGAAGGTACAGTGTGTTGTATGGGGCATGGCCTATATATGATAGTGGTTAGGGTATGTAACTCCTGATCACAGGAGTGGTGTTCAATGGTCCAGTTGGTGGAATTAATTGTGACCTTGGGCAGGTTATTTACCCTTACTTGCCAGTCTCTACCTAGAAGTATAATGATCATCTACGAGGGCAGAGAATTCTTTTGTATTTAGTTAACCTGATACCTGAAATGGTTGCATCCATGGTTGTATACTTGTCACAAGGTTGAGATGGTTTATGGGATTGTTGAACAGAGATAATATGGTACATAGCACATTCAGAATCTGCCATGTAGTGGAATTTGCTGTATAACTGTGTCCCTTTATCATTCTATCAATATATGGAATGATCAAGTATGAATCAAGCTTGAAAAACGAGAGGGTATGCTTTAAGCCTTGTCCTTTTGATTGCGAGGAGTCTGAGTGTTGAACATGTGACTTTTTAAATGCCTTTGAAATACCGATCTTACTTCCCACCTCCAGTATGAAATACACTGTGTTTAAACTGAGGATTTTAAAAACAAAACAAAAAACATGTGACGTTGTGTAACTTACAGCTTCCACTGTTTCTGTTTCCACATCAATTCGAGTCAGCAATTCATTCCTGGATGTTATCTCATTCTTCAACCGATCAGACTCCAGGGTAAGGGTGTGAAGTTTTTTCTGAAATTATAAATCGCAATCAGCCTATTGCTGAGAAAACTCTCTTGTTTTAGACAACAGTAGAAGAAACAAAACTAATGGTAAGTCACATCTTTATAGATTTTGATACAGGCAATCTCAAACCAACCATAGATGCAGTCTATGAATAGCAAAGTAACTGAGAAGCTGTATAAAAGAGTTGAAATTATTAACCCTAACCCTCCTCAATCCTCCAACAGGAGAAGGATTGAGGAGGGTTAGGGTTAAGGTTGTATAGGAAGAGTGTTTCCATCAAATTTATTCAAAAATGCAAAGGTGTTGTTGAAATACATACATCAGTATTGGCATTAAGCATCACAAATGTTCAGTGGATATGTCAATCAGCATGAATTCAGTGACCTGTTCAGCTAAAGGCGATAAAGGAGAACTTCCAGTGCATTGAAAATAGTTCCTATATTGATCCCATATATATATCCTATATTGTATCTGGTCCTACATAGAGGTACTGGAATCTGGGATGGGATTTGGAGCCAAGATGATTGCATTATTAACAACATTAGGCAACGTTTGTTGGGAGAAATCCACAGAGTTTCACCGCTTTCTTCAACATTCTGCACTGAACACTGTTTCCACCACGTACAATTCGACATACAAATGTGAAACAAACACAGTCTTAGTGTAACAACGTCAAAATATTGTGAAGTTAGTTTTGTGATCAGAGTGGTCAAGAGAAAAAAAAAATGTAAAAAGTAATTTACTGTAGTCTACCACTGAATGAGCACAGCGTTTATAAGGATTTCCGGACGCAATTACATCAGCACTTTGCAATTGAACTTAACCGTAACAAGGAAAGAGGAGGCAGAGAATGACCCTTTCCAAAGACATTCATTTTGATGTCATTTTTTGGTAAAAAGGCCATAGAACTTTTTCCATTAGTTGGACATTAGCAAATTGCATGAATTTGTGATGACCATGACAAGAAAACTTGTGGTCCAGATGGACTGAAATTTTCAATTTTTTACAGTGGATGACATTACATGCATGCAGAGCAAGGTGTACATGCTAAATAAATGGCAATGATAGCGGACTGCAACACAAGATGATGTTGGCCTCATGGGACACTGTTGCAAGGTACGAATGGACCAGCACTCTATTATTCACACAAAGAACACACACCTTGTAGGAGTTCAGGACTTGCAAAGTGTTACCCGACATCAGCTTGAGTCTCAGCAGGTCCTGGTTGCGTTCATCGATCTTCTCCAGGTACTGGCTGTTCTCAATCTTCAACTGCTGGAAGTCAACCTCGTGTAAGACTTCTCCCATCTCTTCTTTCTGCGAGGCGGAGCACGGGGTGAGAGACAAATCACCGAGGTGACAAACAGCACATAAAGATTTTGTATCCATAACACGTTGTGTGGCAACTGCACCACTCTGTGAAACTAACAATAAATCTGAATCAGAATCGACTAACACGGAGCCCCAATCATGACGGGGTATGTCAGCTTTTAACATACTATGGTAGGGGCTGGTTTTTTTTCTTGAGCCTATTTACCTGTTTGAGCTGCAGGTGTAGCTTCTTTTTCTGCACCTTCAGTGTGGAGTTCTTCAGCCTGAGCTTCTCAATCAGTGCGTCCCGGGACCGCTGTTTGTCCTCAAAGTACCGCACCACCTTCTCGGCCACTACCTTACCGGTGCGGGTGTTCACTGAACCCTTCAGGATGTCTCGTTCATACTCGTAAGATGACTTCTTCACTTCAGACAGACGCACATCTGCTTCTTCCATGACAGCCTTCAGATAAGAAAACAGACACACAATTGAACTTTGCAAACATAAAACAATGAGTTGAAGGTTGCTGCCTGGCAGAAATATGTATTTCATTACGCGACTTAACAATATTTCTCCAAGTCTACAATTTGATTTTGATATCCTAGTTTCAAACTTGTTTCTTTCAGCACAATGTTTAATTGTCTGCACTTTGACAATAACTTTGAGGTTAACACGCCTTTTTTTCAAACATTTCCCAAGAAAACCACATAAACCTTGACATCTATGGTAAACCAGCCTGTGATATAAATCATTACAAGTACTTCTGATCAAATAAGATTCCCATGTTAAAATGAGTATTGTTGTTAATGGATCATTTACGTGACGAGCAAATTCATGATCCTTTCTTGATGGAACAGCAAGCATATAAACATTGTACAGCATGACAAAAATCACGATGCATATATATAACGATAGTACATGCAAGCAATTGAGCCATATTCTGAATTACAAAATCAAACTAGGAAGTGTTTCTGTCTCCTAATCCATATCCTCACGTACAAAATGTTTGTGAAAATCAAGGACTACCTTATAGGTGTCCAGTATTTTCTCTGCATCCTCCTTTAGCTTGTCAATCTCCTCTCTCAGCTCCTCGATTTCACGCTGGGCGATGTCGCACTTTTGCTCGGCGCTCAGCTTCAGGTGCTTGTCCATGCCACTGCCCTTGGACTTGGAACGCTTGCGCATGACGCGGGCGTCGTGTGTGGACTGGCTGGGGGTGGGGGCTACAGCCGCTGTGGTGGCAGCAGCCGTCAGGTTGGGCTCCACCCGCTTCAGGTACTTCTCGAACATGATGGTTTCATTCTGCAAGACCTTGTTGCCCGCCCTGTGAATGAAAATGTATACAGCATGTAAACAGTCAAAAGCAGAACGTCAATGAAAATAGGTCTGAATGCCTGTTTGTCTAAGCATATTTCGTCCAGTGGCAGATTCAGTGGGGGGAGGGGACAGGGACAGTAGGTTGTTTCCCTGAGACTTGCTACCACTTCCATTGATGGTTACTATGCAAAAACATTGCATCTGGCATGGTTGATACTACACATGGCTGGTACTCTACATGTACATCAAACTATCACAAGTGACTGTAGTTAATGTACATGTACATTGGTAGGCCTCCGCACATTACATGTACATGTATGTTGTTGTATGTTGTGATGACTGAGGCTGATATTATTTTGTGATTAGTCCGAGTAAGTAGGGCTCTACCAATGGCCTCTTTCAACATTTGGAAATGTTACTATCAGTGACCATGTCTAAATAAATGAGGTGATTTATAGATTCCTAGTAACATGTACTTAAACTAACGTCTGCGACTGTATAGTCGCCAGGTCCCTAATTTCACCACCTACATGTACGTGTATTGTCAAGTGTGACTGGTTTTCAAAGTAAGTGGCAAGAAACTGGACCTGGCATCATGCCACAAGGTTGCATGAACATACAGTGGGCCTGGCATATATGTATGACGTAATGCAAGTCCTTGGTTTTGGGTCGTCACTTTTTCGTGTTGTAGGTGTGATGAGCATATATTGTGCATGCCTACAGCCCTACCACACATACATAGGAGAGTATCAGTTACTATGCATCCGCGCATGCATGGGTGCGTTAAATCTTCACATATGCAGTTTATGCAGGATGACTACGACAGAAGTGTGGACTCGGAGTTGTGAATTGATGTACCGGTATCTTCTACAAATACGTCGCCCAAGGACATATAACCTAGCAATTGGATAATTCTGGATATGAGGATCATGTGAATGAGATTTCAGCTACCTCCATCAGGTAAAAATGGGAAAAAAATTGTTGTAAAATCTGAAACTATCGTGGGATGCCTTTATATCCTGGACATTAGTCATAAACATGGAGGACTAAGAACACGTGAAGACATCGTCCAACCTTGGCTAGATCCACCTTGCAGTTATTATGATTGTAATTATTTTCATTGCAGGTAATGACACTCATGATTCCTCAAAAGTGCCCTACGCACTGTAGCTTGCAAGCCTGAAGAAACCTGTAGACATGGTAGAGAGGAGACAGTGCGAAGCAGTTACAGTTTTAGAGGAAGGAGGGAAACCCAAGCAGAAAACCCATGGAATTAGGTAGGGACTGAAAACCCAAGCCACATGTAGACTGAGCCAGGATTCAAGCCCAGACCACAGAGGTGGAAGGCAAGGAAAGAACGTTACGCCAACCTGACTCCCCATGGCCATGCCATGTTGAGCATGATGTCGTACTCATCTAGGCTACCATGATAAATCCAAACGTTAAAATGTAGGTCTACCTTCTACTATAAGAACAGCGTCCCTAAATATACAATCTCCAGCTGTACAGCTGAATGCAAAACCGTATCAAGTGTAGGCCTAGTCATGCTTGTTCCTGCTTGAATTCCAACTTGCGTTCGAATAATACGAACTTAACCTTACTTTAACTCCTCAAGCATCTGTTGCAATTCATCGTCTGAGTGGTCATGAAGAGGGTCATCTTGAGCGTCCTGTGATGACGTGGTTACACTTTCAGAGTCTGCCATGGTTTAATTTTTTTTTAGTAGTTTAATTTTCCAATTTTGTCCTACAGTTAACGTTGCAACTCGATCAGATGCTAGCACAGAGCTAGAGGACGACGTTTATGAAGTGACTTTCACGACTTCGACATAGAGGGCGTTCACCTTAGTAACGGTAAGCTTGGCACTTGACAACGAATGATGTCAGTTGTGTTGTGCAGACATCAACCTGGGCACATTAATTTTTTCCTAAACTATGCAGTTTCGTAACAAAGAAAATCGGCTGAAAATTGGGAGGACATTTTCGGCAATGTTGGATTTTCGAAGCGTGCGGGGCAAACAACATTTGGGTAGAAGTGACAAGAAAATCGCGGGTGTTTAGCTCATAGGCGTAGCTAGGATTTCAGAGGGGGGGGGGGCACAGGGGGGCACCAGCATGGGGGGCACCAGCTTTCAGTGGTGTGGTTTTTTAGGGAGCAAGCTTTTGTTAGCCCTGTTCAATATCCATTCATCCTTTTTAGGAGGGGGGCACTGGGAATTTTTTTAGGGGGGCGGGTCCCCCCCGCCCCCGTTGCTATGCCCCTAGTCTTGTCAGTGCAGGGAAAGGAGGGGTGTTTGAGAGGGCCTGTTATATTTTCATGGTTTTCCACATTGGGTAAAATAAGTCATCTTCCCATTTATAGAGTGTACTGGCTTAACTAAGACCACTAGGCTTGACATTTTTCTTGACATAGGAGTCGTGATCATTGTGTGTAATGCCCCCCCCGCCACCTCAATCTGAGAATGAAAAACGTGAAAGTGGCATATACGTCTCCTTTTTTACCATGGGGATTGGTATGCCTCATGACATCGTCACCCTAATAGCCCACAACTGAAACAGGGAAGGGTTTCACGGTACTCGGTCAAGGCCCAAACGTGGTCATTTGTACACTTTTAAAGTTTTCAGGGTAGTTAAAAAATAATTCAATTAAAAGACATAAAGGTCGTTCGACGTAGTATTCTATAATCCTTTTGATCAATTTAATTTCTAATCTTCTTGTATTTTGCATTCAAATTGGTTTCTTCAGTATGGTTTTCCCGATTCATTTGACAACTTAAAATTCACGTGTCAAAGGAAAGAAAAGTGGTTTATGGAAAAAGAATAAGAGACATAAAACAAAACGTTTTCATTTTTAGTAAAATAGTGATTCCGCTTTTAATTTGTTTTTAATAGAAATTGAAATTGTTTGAAAGCGTAATGATGAAGCTGAACTTTACATTTGTGGAACTGGCCGGGAAAACCTGTAGTTGCCACAGACTAAACTTACCAACCCGAAGATCTTAACAACTGGCAGTAACTTCATAAGTGTATATATCTTACGCAACTTTGTGAAACTGAGCCAGGATGGGGGGGGTGTTAAATGCTAAAATGTTAACAGTGATTTAACAGTTTCCAAACCGGGTTGATTATTTTCTGTAATTCAAGAAAGAACCTCAAAATTTTCAAAAGAGATTCTATTGTTCAAGGTATCATTTGTTTGAAAACATTCAATTTTCTCAATAAAGTTTTGAGCCTTAGAAGAAAACAGCCAAAACCGCCTGTTTGAGCTCGATACCGCTCAAACGTCTATGACCGTAACAAAAAAAACCAAACAAAACACAAAACAAAAACAATAACAAAAAAAACCACTTATGTCTGATTGAGTTGATGGTTCACTTTGATATTTTTCTCAGAGAAAACACTAATCATTCATCAGAGAAACATCGCATGCCGTGAATCAATGGTGCATTGGCATGCAAAAGGAAATAAATGTCAGAGGCAAAACTTATTATTTCTCAAAGAACCGGGTTGTTTGGCCTATCTCACATCTGGGGTGAAAACCGCACCCCCCCAAAAAAAATTACGACGCTCAATTTCTTTTGAGATTTGGTGTGCGTGTAAAGACACTCATTATCATGACAAATGTGAAGTTTTAACTCAATCAGACATAAGTGGTTTTTTTTGTTATTGTTTTTGTTTTGTGTTTTGTTTGGTTTTTTTTGTTACGGTCATAGACGTTTGAGGCTAGACGCGTGTTAGCCAGCGTGCATTGAGCACTGGTACCGCAGTGGAAAGTGTGCACTGACTGCCTCGGACAAAATGAGCACTGCACAAGAATGATAGGATCGATTTTCACAAAATAGGTGTCAAATTGACTGCAAAGAGTTATCATAAACATTCTTTAAGATTCAGCTCCTGAAAACATCCACTTCAGCGATATCGGAGATTAATGCCGGGGGACGGGAGCGGATTCCGCCCCGGCTTTTCTGGGGTTACATTAAGAACCAAACGGGCGAGGGCGCCCCTTTTCTAGTCCAAATCTCGAGGTCCCTTTCTCTCGTGCAAAAATGCGAGAATGCATTATCTGTCCGAGCTAGCTGCGCTGATTATGAGATGTAAAGTAATTTTCGCCATTTTGTGAATTCTGGCTCCAGTGGGAAGGTATACTCGAAAGCCCTGTTCTGTCGGTGGAGGAAAATTGGCGCATTGTGAATTCACATATTTCAAATTTCAGATTTTATTGAAGTTACCTTTGAAGTTTGGCAGCGAAAGGGGGTCACCAAAGTGGCGAGAAAGAGGCAAACGTGAACCGGTTCGTTGGGTGTTGGTCGTCGTCTTTTCTGAACGTCACTGTTGCATTGATTGTGTGTGCACGAGGTACATTCATTATGGACTGACATCTGTGGACAAAAGTAGGAAGTTCGTCGTGAGTTCGGCCGGTAAAAAGGCCCCTGAAACGCCACTTTGTTGGCGTTTAAGATTGTTCCCAATTTTTCTAGGGTTGTTTCCAACTCTTCGCTGAGAAGCCAAGGGCTTCTTCGGCGGAGGTTTGGGCCGAATTTTGCAGTCAAGATTGCGAACCGCAACGTGAACAGCGACAAAATGGCTATGAGCCGTGCACGTGTGTATGCCGATGTCAATACACACAGACCAAGGGACTATTGGGACTACGAATCCCATGTTGTCGAGTGGGGGTAAGTGAACAATTTATTTCGATTTATATTGTTTCTGCTCTTGTGTCTCTTCTGTTTGATTCAACCAAGTGGCCATTGGTCTAGTTAATATACTAGTATGACTTTTGGCTTTGCACAATCATTACATTAGGGACCAAAATGGGCTACTGCATGCACGTTGTGCTCATGGATCGTTTTTGTATACAAACACGTGGTCGTCTGACTTCCCATAGACATGGTGCAGTAAAATTGATTGCTAGCCCCAGGGACTACCCTATTTTCATCTTTTCTTGATAGCATTTGAGCTGCCTGAACTCCTCATCAAACAAAAAAAACATGAAGTTTTCTGGGAGTTTTGATCTGCTAAAAACGGGCATTATTTCAAGTGGCATTTTAGGGGCTTTCCATACCAGAAAGCCCTTAAAATACTGATACAATCATTTTGAAAAATTTGGGTCAGAAACACCTTAAAAGATTGAGGTTTAGGTTGTGAGTGTGAGTGCATTTGACCGCCAAATGATGAAGTGCACCATGACTTTCTGAATGGCCATCGCCGGGCCTCAGTGCACGGTGGCCGGTCAACATGGCAGTCACGCACGGTAGCCTCACATGTGCCATCGTACACGAGGGGATACGAACTACCGTTAGTGATTTTGTCTATGGGGTCATAAGTTCATGGTTATCAGAATATCACTGAGTGTTGTGTTTTTCAGTTTGTTGTGTTTGGCGACTCTTCTGACTTTGTTCCTCTGAATTCTAACCAAAAAATTGTACATTCAAACACAATGTGTGGTTGGGGGATTCGCACATACATGTATAGTTGAGTACATGACGTGCGTACATGTACATGTACTTGCATGCGCAATCTGAAACTAGGAAAAACGTTCATGGAATCTTGCGTAGTGAGAAACCTACTGACCTGTGATTACTTCCAGTGTTCATTTTTTTGGGCTCCCATGATTTTTGACAAACCGTCAACAAACTCAGAAGCGTGAATTGAAAATTTAGCCAGAATTCCTTTTCTTAAAATTTTCTTGGAGTAATCTTTTTTCTTCAAGACTTTTTTTTTACTTTTCAAAAAAGAAGTGGTCTCAGCATTTAATGCTGCAGAGCAATAGCGAAAAGGTGGGTAAGCCTAGGCCTATTCATTTCAAGCGATCGGGAACTAGGAACATGACTGTAATTACCGAAAGCTTGGAGACCACGTGTGGCCAAAAATTCCTTGTTGGGCAACTGAAAATGAAGTTCCGGCAACCAGATTTTAGACTCCCCTGCCCGAAGGGCAACTACATTTTTGAAAATTTTGGCGAGCCCTGCTCAGTGTAAAACTGGTTCATTCTGTTAAACTGGCACTTTCTTACTTTCAGAAACTTTGTATTTTGCACAAAGTTTCCATTTAGCAGAGAGACACATGTACCAGTATTACACACAATCATGCCTTGAAGAATTTAACTATCGCTAGATATTCTGCTCCATTGTTAACTTCAGTTTGCTTTAGTTGTCAGATCAAATTACAATGACTTTATGTAGAGATCACTTTTCTAAGGGAGACAACCACACTTGGCCACAAGAAATGAAAAACGAATCTCTGCAGAACCTGCCAATCGAGAAATGTGTTGCTTTGAATTTGTTTACCAGGTTGTTTACAGTGTCAACATTTTTGTAAACAAAATAAATTGAAGATAACTTCTCACTGGATCACACATGTAGCATTTGGTTGCTTTTGGGATTAAACAAATATGTGCTCGGCCATTAGGGTTAAGAAATTGAACCAATAAAGGGCTTGTTCAAAAAATACAAATGAGTATACCTCCACAACCCCTTGACCACTTCGTTACTTTTGGTGCCAAACGACACAGAGTTATGTGATTGGTGAAAAATTAAACAGAAACTTGTCTAAACTCATGTAACAATAGCCACTGCAGTCTGCATTATTACGTATTTTCTTTAGCATATGCCGGTATACAGACACCAGTAATTGTTCCCTGCAGTGACCAGTTAGCCGTCAGAAAGCAAAACATTCAGAAAATTTCAATTTAGGAGGAAAAATACCATGTGGCTTACTTAGAAAACACTTAAAATTTTCAGACCAGTCTCATAGGGTATGTGCACAGGGTGTCGGTGTCTGTATGTGAAATTTTGTGAAACTTTCAGGCATGTTGAGAAGACAATCTAGGCACTAAACATTAGACCCAGGCTAACCTACATGCACATGTATGGTTTAACTGGAAACCTCTGAAATTTGGATATCTCCACTTTTCCTATTGAAGGCCCAATCAGTGAAATTCAAACACTGAAGTGGAAGGCCATTGTACAGTGTACTTCCACAAGTTTCTTGCTAAGTCATTAGTCCTTGGTCAGTGCTTGGAGTGTAGAAATTCAAAACTAATTTATTTTGTTGGGGGGGGGGAATACATGTAGTTGGATTTTGTTAACATTGATACATGTACAACTTACAAGCATGGCTTTGCATGGAGATTTTTAGTCAACTTTTTTTGTAAAGCATAGTTACTTTCATCGCCTTCAACTTCAGTGAATAACTCCAAGGACATACTATTGACTGATTGATGGGGTTTTCAGTCCCTGCCTGAGGGCTCCCCCCTCCCGGAATACTTGTTGGTGTTTTTTCTCCCATCTCAAAAACTGCCATTTCGCAGGGCCACTCAGGGAGAACATTTTACTTGTAATTATAATAGGATTATCCCAGTTAAGGAAAAGGATACAAAAGAATTTCACAGAAGAAAAGGTTGAAAGATGAAAGGTCAAAGGGGTACTTTGGTCAGAGTAATCTTGATCCCTGACCCATGACACTTCTGATTGAAACAAATGTCATGAAGCTGCCATTATCACTTCATCAAACCAGGAAGAATTTCTGCTGCTTTCCAGAAACGCCTTTTTTTTCTCCATGTGCATTCTTAATGACACTCTGAATGTATCCACACCAGGTGGGTGCAGCTGGTGTAAAATTGATGCACTTACCAACAGAATGCCAGATTCTGATTGCATTTTATAGATAAGCCATTTCTTTTCATTTAAATGTGCAGTTAACATGTATGGCATAAAAAGCTTGATAATGGATAGGGCTGTACTGATTTTGTTTTAATAGTCTGATATTTTATCGGTCCTTGATTCTTGGAATATTAAATTTCGAAAAGAAATTTCCCAAGATAAAATCAACTGAATAAGAAAGGAAGAAAACTCAATTGAAAATTGCATTTTGAAGAAAAATATGTACATGTATTTCAAGATGTTACAAGTGTACCTAAGTTAAAGGAGCTGAATGCGTATTAATAAGGTAATTAATAAGGTCAAGTATTACTTTTCCTTAAAGTCTTCTTTTTCTGTGCGTTTGTCTAAAAGTGTATTTTGTTTCTGTTTTGCAGCAGGAGTTCAGCAGGTGTACAACTGAATATAAAAATTTAAATTTGATAAAATGGAAGGTTACATATTCAGTCATTCACATTGCCTCAGCCTTAACAAATGAATCTTCTACTGTAGGTGTTCCGTGCAGTAGTAATAATTTTTTTAAAAAAAAGTGCTGAAGATTCAGGGAGGACTGGTGTGCAGAAAAATGATTTTGAATTAGTATCCTTTTTACAATGATATACATGTACTGTGTGTACATGTACAGTAACATGCACATAACCACTTCACGCCGGTGGCAGTTGTCAATGTTGATAATGCTGGGTTGGGATAATGATCATTTTTTTTCTGTTTTCAAACTCTTTAGAAATTCATATCTTCATTTACTGGACACTTACACCCACACGAAGGACTGTCTGGTTTCTACTCTAATCTGACAGACAGCATCTATTGATGCTGGAGTATTTCAGCCAGGCCTGCCGCCTTGTAAAAAGAGCCCAGATTTTGCGGCGTTTTTGCATAATTTTCTTTTGTTCACGAAACTGGCACACTGCGCTGGTGCCCTTCTTTCAATAGGGGCCAGATTAGCGTGCAGCGGTGCTGTGTGGCTCATCGCTGCGGTGGTGGAGTGCCTTTGTCCCCGGTGGTAATCTGCTCATGCTAAATCCCCAAAACCATGGTATACTGTTTCAAAACAAGGCTGGATTATCCCCACTATTGAGAGTGAAAAAATGTTGGTATTGTTTTATGCCCAGCAGCCTGGTCTTTTGTTACAAGTACGGTCTTTTGTTACAAGGCCCAGTTCCCTTTGTCCGATTTCAGAGACCCTGGCAAATGGATAACTATTCCCTTGAGCCAGTTTCACACACAAGCCGAAAAACTAGGGTCCTTGGTTACAGGTGCCAGTAGTCTGTCACCTGGGTCATATGCGATCACGAATCGAGCTTTCACACACAACACGGTATTCCAAAACACTAACGTCCCCCGTTTGGGGATTTTACGTAAGATGTGGTCAAGGGTCACAATTGCTTATGGGTGCATTCCACCAAATCATTGTATTTCTGCGCGCGAGCTCAGAAATGAGATAAGACAGGCCATGATCAGGAGGCATCACAGAAATGTTTTGATGAATCCCGAATTTGGTTTCCAGTTCGGGGTATTTCTTTCATAAAAAGCCATTTTGGGATAGAGGCGGGCGGCTACATTCGGAAATGAGCACTTACCTGTAGTTTTGCTGCTAACCCCCATGAAATTGAAACAAAAAGTGATCTTCTGACCATAACCTTGAATTTCCTCTTCATGAGAGTCAATAGGTGACGCTATTTCAGTCTGATTTTGCAGTTTTCTATGTGCGGGTGTTTGGTGTAGTGCAATCTCATTCGCTGTTTCACTGGTACTGCACACAATAACTGTCCGCAGTACGTTCATATGAAGGTTACCACTGAGATTCCCGCGTGCCTGATATGTACACGTACACTGTACACACATGTATTTATGCCCCGACGTGTGCTTTGGTCGTATGTCCAGCATTGAAGGGAGGGGTTTGTACTACTTACATGTATTGTGATTTCGAGGGACTTTTATTTTGTCATTAAACTGCACGGCAGAAGCATACATGTAAGCATGATCTTCTGAATGTAGTCATCTTTTATTGCAAGTGCGCAATGGGCATGCGGAGTACTCCTGCCAAAACCAGGGTCCGTGGTTATGAACACCGCGCACATTTGACACACACGATCTCTGCTTTTTTGACAAGGGTGCGAAAGTTTAGAGGAGGTCTGAACCTCGGAGATAAAATAAACCAAGGACCTTGGCAATTTTTCGCAAGGGTCACTTTCACACATCATAGGTTTGTGATTTCATGACATGGATGCGATTTTCTCACAAAGGACCTCGGTGATTTCGTCTAATGTGAAACGGCCTTTTAACTAATTTGTAAGCCTGTGCTTATCTCTTATCAATTAACTGGCTCCCTACTTGCCTTTGGAGAAAAAATAGCAGTGACACTGATTATAAATTGTTGTCTTTTCTGTGCTTTCAATTTCACCTACGTATATGTACATTCAAAGGAGATGGCTTCTGAATGTTTGTATTTCTCTTCGCTGATTCCATTCTATTATTAAATATAAAAATCTGAATGTTTTAATTAGACACTCGATCATTATTTAAAGGGGGATTTGTTTTAATTAAAATTCAACTAAACTTGTATTCCAAATAGATATTGTTTGATACACAAGTTTTGATTGGTAAAAATTTAGGAAGCTGAACATCAGCTGACTTGATCACAAACTGAGTCCTACATGTACATGTACCTACATGTACAAGTGTGTAAAATCTGATTATATCTTATGTTGTTGACAGCTGATGCGTTGTACAGACGTGGCATACATAGTGTGGACCTCTGCACAAAAGAAGTCCACATAATGCAAAATACGATGGCGTTGTGTGGACTTGCACATGTCCGCACAAGGTTTCCCCCTCTCTGGAAAAGGAGTTTAGAGGCATTTTAGGGTAGGGGTCATCCGTGGTAAAAGGAAGAGGAATAGTCATGGAAACCTTGTACAAATAAAGCCAAAAATCTTGTTCCTGGTTGAAGAAAAATGAGTATTTTCACGGAGTTTTCTTAACTGCACGAAAACAAAGGAATGTCCACAGTAGGTATGTAACGTAAACATGTGTGTCCATGTACATGTCCATCTTGTAAATGCAGAGAAACATCCCTTCTAACAACTGCCCAGCAAATGTAAAGCACATGGTGCACAGTCAGTAGCGTGACCATGCCAGAGCGTGCTGGATGTATTGGCACCTTTAATAGCATCATGCATGGAGAGACTTGATGCAAGCCTCACACTGAAGCCTCCGGTGCAAACATGGCTTGTCTTTGAGATTTTCACAGGGGAATCATAAACACGGGTTGGATGCAACGCGGTCAAAATGTACTGTATTGACCAAACTTTGCGTTGTCCACGTTTGTCTCAAGTGAGTATTTCCCTAAAGAAACGTACGTGTACCAGAGTTTCCTGTTTTAAAAAAAATTTTATCTTAACTGAACTTGAAATATTGAGAGTCATCATTGTTAATATATAAGTCTTTCTTCAAGGCAACAAATACCAGCATTAATTAAATTAAAAGGCTTGCTCACATCATACATGTATTATGTTATGACATTCCCAGCATGGCCTTGAATGGAGTACCATATTGCAGGACTTGTTTCTTCTGTAAACATCAACCCAGTATTAAAACGTGAACATGCCCTTTGTACAGGTATATGTCTTGTTCACAGAAAGTAAATTTGGAGAGTTCTGTTTGTAAAGTCACCTCGTTTCCCTCAGCTTCAACCAATTAACATCAGATTTTCTTACCCGAAAAGCTGCTGGTGGGGTTTTTTTTTTACCCGCAAATGTTTCAACCTTGCAAAATTTTACACTTTGACCCAACCAAGCACGATGCTTTAATACGTTAACTGTGGAAATGAAAAAAGAATCTTAATTTAACAATTGTGCACATTCTCCGTGGCACAAATAAGGAAAATTGTGTGTTTACACGTCAACTAGTGTCAAGTGGTTAAATTAACCCTGTGATGTGCATGTATCTCCCTTGTCATTCTGCCGGGAATTGTCTTTAATGGTTTACCTGTAGTTCAGGGTTCAATCATTGTGTCAAATCCAGGACCTTTGTGTCAATTTTAATTGTAAACACAGGCCACAAGTAATCTGTAGAATTTGACCTCAGCCACTACATGTACATGTGCATGTACATGTAGTGTGTATATTTGATCAGGTGCTTCTGTTGAAAAATATACATGTACATGTGCATGTATATTGCACTGTGACATGGAACCACTCCAAACCATTCAGAGATTATCCAAATGTGTGTAGATTTAAGCAGATTTTCAATGACCTGTATAAATGGTAACAGTAATATTGATGTATTGACACCATACATGTAGAGTCAGTTTATGTACAATGTAAGCATGCACATGGACATGTACACATGTACGTACATACATGTACATGTACATCAAAATGTCATATCAACATCACAGCAGTCAACAGCTGTTTTGTCACATCTCTGTCTTAAGGAGTTTATCCAAACAAACAAGCTCTGAATTTCAGAAGACGATGGACCTACTGTAAAACTGTACAAATAACGTAACAGACGGAAACAATATTGTTTGCAAACTGTCCCCTCACTTTCATTAACTGCATAAACTCTAATCTGAAACTAGTGCGGGTACCAGTGAGTACATTTATATAGTCTAGTTTATAGTAGTCCCTACATTAATTTATACGCTGTGGGGACGGGAACGAGTCTGTTTAACGAGCGCAATCATTGATCAAATTCCCTGGTAGCCTAAGCACAAATCATATCATGGGTACCAGGCAAAACTGACTAAAGGACCGAAAAGGTTCGTTCTCAAACTTCCCGAAGCTTTTTTGTTTCGAGCGGCTACACGTACACATGTGCGTGCACGCTCCAATGGTAGAATGAGATGTCTCAGTGAGTATGACATGTGGATATGGCACCCTGTTATGTGATCGTTCTGGACCAATAAATGGACAGTATCCAAGCCAGAGGTATGACAATACATGTACATGTAATTGAACATGAATATGGAGCAGTCACTGCATTATCTTGTATACTGCAGGGCTCATGCCTGTGTGTGCATGAGTGTACATGTACTGGGTACATTTATATGTATTTGATGTGATTTCTGATAGTGAGTGTGACATGTGGTTACAATGTACATGTATATTGCCCTTTCACATGATCATTCTAGGCCTATGAAAAAACAGTTTTCAAGACACAGATATCAGGTATGACAAAATTTGTAGTCCACACATTCATATCATGCACACTGCCGTCTGGTGTCCCAGGAAAGTGTAAAGAATATTACCACAGAAAAGTATGAATGTCAGTTTCAACAGTTTGGGACATGGATAAATTTTGTGTTTCATGTACATGCACACAGTACATGAAACACAAAACTTATCCATGTTTCATGTACACAATACACAGTAGTTTCACAGGTACATTCTCATTAAATTTTCGTTCCATAAATGTCATTTCCTGGACTTTCGCCGGCCCCTTGCAATCTAGCAACACCCTGATTTGGTTGATGTTACAGTGTAAGTGATTAGTATGTCAGAGCCAATTACATGTAGGCGGTGGATCTAGTATTTACAAAAAGGAGAGGCATATTGCCGTTAACCCCAACATACGTGTAGTACTAGGAGTCATATTTTGCATAATAATGTCTGATAAAGGTATTCAACGACCACTAAAGAACAATAGGAAAGGGGGGAGAAGGAGGCACTCGTATCTCCCTTCCCCCCCAAAAAAGAAAGAAAGGACAGAAAATTTGGGAAGGGAGAATTACGCTGCAGCTGTGTTCAACCCCCTTGGTCATCCAATATCACAGACCATGGTACATTACATGTGCGGTACCTGTACATGATCACTTCAGTACATGTACATGTAGTTTAAAAATAATGTCCATATGTACATGTACATGTATGCCATACTAAATCAGCCCTTTACATGTACATTTTTGGCAGATTCAGGAAGGTTACTTGTAAAAACTGCGTAATTACGGAGACTGCAGGTATTCCATTTTTTAAGTTTTCATGTTGTATGTTTGCTTTTTATTTTTATTGACCTGGCAAGGGCTGTTGGTGAGGACATTCAATTTTTAATGGGCAGAGACAGTTCCATGTTTATTTTCCATGTTTGACTGACTTGAATAAGATACTTTGAATTCTTCACATTAATTTCAACACGGCATCTCAACATGTGTTTTTCTATAGTCATTTTTCAAATGGACTTAAAGGGGCCTCATGTCTTGCTTTTTTTGTTTCATACCGGTAAGTTTTGCCGTGTTGATAAAAGGTGATTCAAAGTGGTATTTTTTTTTCGAACAATAATAACCTGGTGATAGTCTTAGAAGACCTTTATCTCTACTCAGTCAACACGAAACTAATTGACAAGATCTGCACATGTACATATGTATTTGCACTGTTGGAGTCAATGTTAGTTCAGTATCTACGTACATGTGCACTTGAATATTCAATGCTTTGATGTGCAGGCAACAAGATGACTACCAGATAGTCCGCAAGCTTGGTCGTGGCAAGTACAGCGAGGTATTCGAGGCGATGAATGTCATCAACAATGAGAAGTGTGTGATCAAGATTCTCAAGGTGAGGTCGCGGTTTTTGTGTGCAGCGTGAAATTGTTCTGTGACATTCAGTCAAAATTAGTGACAAAAATTAGCAACATGTACATGCAAAGCAATGTTAAAATGCCCAGCCTGCATCCAAACGAAACCTGTCAACACCCTTTCTTAACCAGTTCCTTTACTAGTTGTAGGATTTCCTTGTCTGATGTTTGGAGAAATGAGCAAAAGGAACCAGCATGAATTTTGGAATGACTGATGCAGCATGTTCCGTTAGGAAATTGGAATGGAGTGTCTGTAATTTTAAACCATGTTGTCATTTTCACTGACCCCAACAAGAAACCATACATGTACAGGAAAAAATTCTCCATTTCTCTCCCCCCCCGTCTTTGAGATGTCAGTAAATCACATTGTGTTTCAAGAAAATTAATCGTACATTTTTCGGGGGGTTTATGAGCAATCTCCAAATCTTGCCCGGGCATTTCACCTTCATGTACATGCACATTACATCACATCATCATGTTTAGTCAAACCAAGTTGGTATTACCTGGTCAACAGAACTGGTTTAAGGGTTGGACACTATTGAATTATAACAGTAGGAGTGAGGTTACCATTAGTATTAGGATGCAGTTTTGATTAAACGAGTTCATAATTTACGGTCATCAAGGAAATGCCTTCTGCCCCTTGCACTGTGAAGTTGGCATTCCACGGTGCTGCTTACATGTACATTTCAGAAGCCTTTTTGTGGTTAAAATTCCATGTAGCCCGTCAAGAAGAAGAAAATCAAGAGAGAGATCAAAATTCTGGAGAATCTCAGAGGAGGGCCTAATATTATCAACCTACAGGCAATTGTCAAAGATCCTGTGGTGAGTTAAGTCTGATTGGTGCATTTGTGAATGTCAGTTGGGCAGGAGATAGTTGCGTGCCGTAGAATCAAAAGACTTCAGACAATTCATGTGAACTGCGGGGAAGACTTTGCACATACGCTAAGTAGCTGTTCATGGAATCTTACAGACCCTATTCACATGGAGGCCATTTTTTATCTCATCCCCCAAATCTGTTGTATATATTGCAAACTGTCGATTAGGATGTCACCAGACTGTTTTATACTTCCGTGCGTTCCAAGCCTCCCTTTCAATAATTTTTGGAATCTGGTAAGGTACAACTCTACATGTATGTGTTCAGTCATGAATTTGAAATTATTCATCGGAGGAGACAGGTGGACATTGGTCGTGAAATTTCATTTCATTGCTTCATTCGTACTCTCAACATTTAAAAATGTTAACCTCGCTTTCAAATTCAATATGGCCGGCCCTGTGAATGAAGTCAATAACTGCACATATGTACATGTATGTAGGTGTTTTTTGTACATGTACAGTAATGTGTGTACTGAAATAAAGCTTGCAAAACTTAACGACTGAATGCTAAGCTATAAAAACCATAAAAAGGTCAAAGAATGAGATTCAAACATGATATACTTGTGTTTCCTCCAATGTATGTAATTGATTGTTTTCACATGATCAGTATGTTGTATTAATGTCTCTATCCTAATTTTCGTCCTCAGTCACGCACACCTGCACTTATATTTGAGTATGTCAACAACACAGACTTCAAGGTACATTGTAAGATCTAAAGGGCTGAGTTTTATCAAGTTTTCAATATTAATTAAGTTGCATGTATTACTGAGTTGTATTACTAGACATATTGCTTTAGCACAGGTACATGTATGTTACCATGTGACTTTAAACAGAATTCTGCACAAATGTTAAAAGTTGTTAGTACCAATGGACAACCGACGTGTATATTGAATTGCTAATTAGAATCAAAGGATTATTATCAAATAGTCAAATTACTAGAGTTGATTGAAACTGACATAAATTCAAGAAGAATCTTCCCTGAAACTTTTAAAAGCATAATTTCTTTTTTTTAAAGGAATTAAAGGGGGATACTCAGTTGTAGAAATGTATTGACTGTGAGAAACATAAACTGTTAACTCTTCTATGATAAGGTGCTCACGCTGTAGTTTGCTTTTTTCTCTGTTCTCAGCAACTGTACCAAACTTTAACAGATTATGAAATCAGATACTACCTTTTTGAACTACTGAAGGTAAGAAAATCAGCAATAATTTTTATAATCAGTAATAATTTTATAATCAGTAATAATTTTAATAATCAGTAATAGTTTTTATAATCAGTAATAGTTTTTATAATCAGTAATAATTTTTATAATCAGTAATAATTTTTATAATCAGTAATAATTTTTATAATCAGTAATAGTTTTTATAATCAGTAATAGTTTTTATAATCAGTAATAATTTTTATAATCAGTAACAATTTTTATAATCAGTAATAATTTTTATAATCAGTAATAATTTTTCTAACAAACGGTTCCCTATGATGTAATTTACCAATTGGCAACATTATCAGATTTCACAATTAACTGTGAACACTGTCAATTCCCTTTGTACAGTAAAGCAACATTTACATATATGTACAACCAGGTTTTCATCTTAAAAGTAACATTTTCTTCACTGCTTCTGGTTGTGAGTAACGGACTTGCTGCATAGCAGCAGTAAAATTGCCCTGCGATGGTTATGAAACCTGCAGCTATGAAGAGTGCAGGGCATTTTTTGGTCTTGATGTATTTACATGTAACTGGTATTTCGCTTTTAACTTCAGTGATTTTTTTTGTGCAGTGCTTGAGTATCATTGAGGTATTTCCTGGTTATTTTGCAGGCTCTCGATTACAGTCACAGTATGGGGATCATGCATCGAGATGTCAAACCCCACAATGTCATGATTGACCATGAAAACAGAAAGGTAAGACTTCTTTTTTGAAATCAGAGAGTTTCATTCCTACTTTGTCAGGTGTTTTATATTGCTTCTCATTTGTTTGACAAGAGGTTCATTTTTCTTTATGTGGGTTTTCTTTTCAACACTTGAGGAAACCTCATTTGTTTAAGTTTGTTTTGAATGATACCTTTATTTTAGATTCAATTTTCTCATGAAATGTTTAGTTTTGTCCTATCGTGGGAACGCAGGTTCAAAGTGAACTTGAAAAGCATTTCAGCAAGGTTTCTGAAAGCTCTCTGACTGCAACACATGTAGAAGCAACTGAAAGAAATGATTTGCCTGCATTAACACCACAGCAGTGGTCAGTCCAAATTTCAAGGAGACAAACATGAAATGCAGGCTGAAAAGGGAATGGATGGGGCTGCCCTCAGCACTCTAGTCAGGTTGAAGGATTAAAAATTTACAAGTCTGAATATCCACTGAAACTGTTCTCTTTTTGCAACAGCTTCGCCTAATTGATTGGGGTTTAGCCGAGTTCTACCATCCTGGACAGGAGTACAATGTCAGAGTGGCATCTAGATATTTCAAGGGGCCAGAATTGCTTGTGGATTACCAGGTGAGATGTTAGGGGATCATATTCAACAGTAAAAGGTGCTGTCACTGTAAATCAGCATCCTTTAGGTGTTAGCGATAGATGTACATCTCACATTAGAAAAAAAGGTTGCCATGGGCATATCTGCAGAAAAATCAAGTCAAAAAAAGTCTGAGTTTGATTTAAGAGAAAAAGAAATGCCTCAAAGCAGGGAACACATTGTATGTCTCGGTGCATACCCACAGTGTATAGTGGCAACTTGAGTTTGTGCCAAAGGCAGCAAGGGTATCTCCAAAAATTAGGGGTCCAAAAGTGTGACATTTTTGTGTCGCTGTCACATCTGACATTTGTTATTTAACATGGAAATATCACCGGAACTGATTTCAAACTATTACAATTTGTTTGGCAGGTAATTTGCATTAATTTATCACTCTTGGAAATTAGAAAATGTGTTCTGAACTTACCAAAATCATGTGAGATGTGACAGGGACACCAAAAAAATGGACCCCTAACTGCTGGAATTACCCATAAGGCACATCTCCACCAGAGACCCCATGGTGTGATTGATTCGAGGCTTTGGGAACAGGTGTGCTTGCCTGATCATTCAGGTAGTGTTCCCTGTGAAAGGATCCCAGTGTTTCACATGATGAGGCATTTAATTCCGCACCCCTTATCTGACTTTACTTGAAGTTTCCCCCCATCATCGTCATGTCCAACTTAACCTGTTAAGCTTTCCAATGGTAGGTAGATGCAATGATACAGCTCACGGGCACGTTAGCATAAAAACATCTGTCAGAGGCAGGAATGATACAACAGTGCAGACCAAGCGGACTTCACTGTGATCTTGAATGTTCAGATAACATAATTGCATCTTCAAATGTTCATATGTTTGCTTCATGAAAGTGCATTGAGTTGTACAGTTTGTCAACAAGACCACAGAAGATGACAGCATTAAGGCCAGTTCATACTTGACACAAAAGTGAACATAAACACAAATTTGTGACGTCACATCTCATATTCATGCTGGAATTCACAAAAGTTGAACGCATTTCAACGTGAGCGAAATTGTGCTGCAAATCTTTCGTGATGTCAAATTTGCTTTACCGTCACATTCACCTGTACATGGAGCATAAACTGGCTTTTATTTGGCAATGATTTCAACTTGGCACTGTGTGATTACTCGACCCGTTTGTCTCAACAGCTCTATGACTACTCGTTAGACATGTGGAGCCTTGGCTGCATGCTGGCCAGCATGATATTCCGCAAGGAGCCTTTCTTCCATGGCCATGACAACTACGACCAGCTGGTGCGAATTGCCAAGGTGCTGGGCACAGATGAACTCTACGAGTACTTGGACAAATATCAAATTGAGCTGGACCCAAGATTCAATGATATCCTTGGAAGGTTGGTCAACCTTTACTCATTTCAGCGTGAACCATTGGCTTAGCCACTGCGATGTGTATTTTTTTCCTGATGTAATGTCACCTTTTACCACAGTATCATAAATCAGCAACGTGGTTTGAATGTCTCTGTTTTAATTAATAAATGTTGAAACCCCAATTCCCAAGCCTGGGAAACTAGCGGTAATTTAACCATTGTTGATAGCAGCATTCGTACTGTGGTTTTTTAGAATCTGTTTTCTCAGAGGAGTGTAATTTTGAGGGACTCTTTTGTTGTTGCATCCCATACCCAAATATAAATGAACTTCACTTGCCATGCAGGCATGAAGCCATGTACGTATTTAATATGAGAAATCTGAGAACCTGTCAGGAATTTTGAGGGCCACAAAAATCGTGAAAGTGCCCTATATACATGTACATGTTTATATTTTCCACTTCAAATCAGCTGTTTCATAATGATGTTCATATGTATGTTTGCACATTCCAGTTAGTAGTTTGTATCTTTTGGCACTGGTTGGTGTGTTAGGCTATTAAACCTACATGTACGTTTATTAATTACATATACATGTACATGCATATGTGCATCCTGTTCAAATACTAGGCTGTGGAGTAAACGTACCTTTTACCTCTTTGATAATGGAGTTGTTACAGTGGTTGGGGTTTAGACATCATGAACATTTGGTTTGTCCCCATGTGTTTATCGACAGGCATTCACGGAAGCGATGGGAACGGTTTGTGCACAGCGAGAACCAGCATCTTGTGAGTCAGGAGGCACTGGACTTCCTAGACAAGCTGCTACGATACGACCACCAGGACCGTCTGACTGCCCGGGAAGCCATGGATCACCCCTACTTCTGTAAGTTCTTGGGCAAGTCCAAAGTCAAGAGCTGATGTGAATTCTGCAGTCAATTTTGGGATTTTTTTTGTTCTCCCCTTCCGTTGCATGGCATCAGTTTACATGTACTGGTACATGTAGACTCTGAAGTGTTTTGGAGGGTGCGTCGGGCCAGTGTTGAGGTTTTAAGTTTTAGAGATTAGACAACATCTAAGGAACAAAATGTGCAAATCTTGAACAATGGAAACCGATAGGAACTGTAACTTTTTCCCCCTAATTCCAGTATTTATAGGGATGTTGAACTGAGCGACTCTTATCAAAGACACAATTGGATCGTCTGCTTTTTGATCGTGTTGGCATCCGTGGTGTAGAAATCTACAGACCCTTTGTGTTGAACACAAAACAGTGATGGGTTCTTGGTCACAATCTGTATGCTTGACAGTGCCATCTACAGGCTTTGTATGTGTTTCACATTGAAGCCTTGTGACTGAGAGTTGAAAATGTTGCAAAAATTGAGCTGATGCTAGTGACAGAATTTTGACCCCTGAAATTGTGGGCATTAAGAAAGTAAACGAAAAACTTTTCCGGAAGAAGATACAAGTGCATAATTTTGTATTAATTTGATCTTGTTCATCAGATCCTGTTGTGAAGGAACAGAACAGATCTTTACCAGCCATGATGAATGTACCAGTGTCCACGTCCATCATCTCAACAGCTGCTCCAACTAGTACATATGGTGAGTCCTTCCTCACATCAACCCCCCTCTAGCCAAGGGCTTGGTGAGCAGTGACCTGTAATCTTTCAAAACTTTCATGCCATGAAATCCGTTTACCTGGTGACCAGTCTTCAAATGTGTTATACATTCATATGGAATGCACGTGCATTGGTCAGGGCAGTAAAGTACCCACAGTGCTCTGCTTTGTCTACATTTCCTTCTCAGAATTAATGAAAGAGATTTCTTTTCACCAGTGCTCTTTAATATAGAGTGGTAGATATACAAGTGAAATCACCTGCCTACCATATGTCGTGCAGAGACTCTAGTAGCACCTGAATTGACCGTGTTTGCAGGGGACCCAATTTCAGTTGTATTTCTTAATGTATTATATACATCTGAAACTCTTAATGGGATGGCACCAGGTGAGTTTGGGGGTTGGAATGAAATTGTGGAATAGTCTGGTTCTTTAAAATTAACATTTTCAGATAAATACGCTTTGTTGGGAAACCTGACTGATATTGGGTCCCCTGCGAATATGGTCTTTTGAGATGTGAAATACGCAATCTATCTGTGAGGGGTGTGTATTCCCACACACGAAATGTACACACACTGTTGTGTTTTACCACATCACAGAGGACAAGGCCTTGCATTTCCTATTGATCCCCGAGTATGACCGAGTATGCATGCACAAGGGGGGAAGGGGGACTTGATGGAACAAAAGACTGGCCATCGAGGACAGGCAACATGTTTAGTTTGTTTTAAGTGTCTGCCCTCAGTGGTAGAGCAAAACATGTATCATGTACGCCAGTGAGTCTGCAGGTTTGTAGCCTATTCTCGGTCTGGGTGGACAGTGACAGAGACGCTTACTCATATCAACATCAAGGGGACACTGGTGCAAGGGGAGCAGATTGTAACTCCCCTTTACTTTATTCATCAGCCACCAACACATCTTCGCGAACAATGACAGCGATGCCCACTGGATCGCCCATAATATCAGCACCGACAGCCCAACCCATCCAGCCGATCCAGAACGCCAGCCCCGCGACTGCTGTTGTTCCCTAGTCTGTCATCGTGTTCGCAGCCACCAACTTCAGATCTTAAGAACACACCGTAGATGATTGTGGGGATTTGTTCCCTCCCTTTTTCTGTTTCTCAGCAAGTCATACAAGTTCAACTGAGTGGTTAAACGGGAAAGCACGCGGTATCGTACCTATACTCTATGGTAGTTGTAGAAAAATGTACGATTTTTTCTGAAGGGAGACCTGACGAGCAGAGTTTTGCAGACTTTCACCACGCTATTCACAAAGCACAGAATTAATTGCCTCGTGAAACGGGTTTAGGGCATTTTATTTCTGTGAGCCTAGTTTCATGTTGCAGAGGAAACCATTAGTTAACCGTATCCAGGAGTCTGCCAAAGTTTTGATTTGCTGTATTGGTATGTCTGGTTGCTATGTTTTTTGCTTGGGGAAAAATTTCACAGCTAGAGACTTGCAGCTCTGTTTCCATCAAATGTTTACAAATACAGTTGGTTTTTTTTCTTTTTTGCTTCTGCAAATGAGTTTTCATTTGTCAGCAAACAGGTTCAAGCTGTCTCTCTAAAAAGTGACTGTAGTGTTGCTATCCTTAATGGTAATTTGAAATTTGATGCCTGATTCTTTGACCACAATAACCAGTTTCCCATTACTGTTGTACATTCTGAAACTTGCACAAGTTAAGCCAATTTTGTTGGTCTTCTAAAGCCCATGTTCATCTTGGAGAGTGTACTTTGAGAACAAAATGCAGACACCAATATGTACCGGTACTCTTTGGTTTACCCTGCAAACGGAACAGTTTCAGTTTTTTTAATGATCTTGTTCTTTTTGCATTGTTTTGTCACCATTTTTATGGCCCATTTTGATTCTTCTGCCCAGTTCAGAGTGTTGAGAGGTTAAAGTCTACTTTTTTTCCACCCAGATGTACAATATGTTGCATTCGCTTTCCTGATCAGAGTTAATTTACAACAATTTGATATCCAAGAATTGAGGCTAGTGATCATGACAAAATATTTCAGAATCCCCATTTTTTCCAAATAACGTACATGTAGGTACATTTCATTGTGTGGTACTGTTTGTATTCGTTACTTGCGGATAATATTTAAAAAGGACACTAACACGGAGGCAAAAGGACTAAAAGACTTCACAGAAATTAGTTAATAAATACAACCAGAGTCGCTTTATTTGTAACCTTGTTTTGATTTGAAACGTCACTTGCGACTTTCGTTAATATACCCAAATCTGCATCTTTGCTTTTGTGAGGCAAGGAAATATATGGAGTTTACCACAGTTGTGTAAGTTTAAAGTGAAACATCTAATTGGTGGAGAAAAATAACACCAGTTTGTAAATCAGAACTAAAGTTTGTAACTTAAGTAAAATAATCCCAATAACCTGAATAGAGATAGACTAGAAGAAGTAGAGTTTTAACAGTACAATAGTTTTCCAGTATTCAGGTGAGATGAGTTGGCGTTGTTTAGATTTGACACATGCTCCTCTAGAAAAGGGAGGCTTCGTCTGTTTCAACTGTTATTTCATCCGCAGATTGTCCCAGTCACATTTTGGGTGAGCTGCCAGAAGTTTCAATGTATTCTGAGGTGCCTGTTTTTTGAGCATGCAGGTACTGATTGAAGTGACAACAGCTCTGCCCCAACGCTGCCGCATGCATCGTCAGCCATACATGTAGGTCAGAGCCTGCTCAGTAAACCATAAGTGCTCTCGGGCACTCGGGTAAAGAGGATGGTGAGAAGGGGGAGGGGTGGTGTGAGTAAAACTGCCTGCCAAAACAGGGGTGGATAAACGGGAGTTGCCTTGCACCTACTTCCACAGCATGCTAGCTTTGCTGTAAATAAACATGCTACAATACGTGTTAATGGACACTGGTCGCTGATGACCTGGAATCGTTTCTGTCAAAGCCCATGCCACTGTAATAGTCAGGTGCCTGGCTGGCTACATGTAGATAAATTCCACTCCTCACAGGTAATATTCTTACTTTTTGACGGGTGGTTGGTTTGGTATTTCTCTATCAGCCTTTTGGTGGCTGGCCTGTCCGTTGGATTTGTGTTGAGGAAAAAACAAATGTAAAATTGATCCGAGTACCTGGGTACCAAGGGGAAGTACAACATGTTCAAAGTTTATTGATTTGTATGAGATTAAGACAACACTGTGTGTAATGAGCACACTTATTACTGGCACTGGAAATCAGTATTTGTACTCGGTAAAGTCAGTCAATTTGTGTTTGATGTAATGCGGGCTTTATTTAACACTTGGGCCTATTTTGCAATTTGAAGAAGATAAAGAATAAAGTGCATCTTCGATGATGTTGCGCTTGAATCACTTAAATGTGTGGATTGTTTTTACCCTGTTTCTCTCTGGTTGAAATTCCCTGTCCACGTAAGTCTAGTTTTATGCATATGAATCCTATTGTGATCACTTTATGTATTTAACATTTTTGGCTTTGTTGCTTGACGAAGGATACATTTTTCAATTTAATATTCTTCCCACAATAGATAGAGGTATCTCTTTCAGTTACTTTCCGCTTACTTCTTTTCCCTTTGAACACGTAAGCCCTTCTGTCTATCTCATCGTGCTCTTGATATTCCTCGAAGAAATAGAGTAACATGAAACCAGGATATCAAAAGACCCGGTGGGGTCCTTGTTAGACAGCCATCCACATCTGCGTGCGTGTAATTGTAAACTCCCTCTGAATTCAGGCCGATGTCCGACAAAGACTCACGGCAACAATGACAGCTCGCTGTGATGGGAACACCGTTACGAAGATACACGTAGGCGCGTCATGAACTATGCCTTTCGCATGTAGGCCTATGCTGTTTTTAGAGTTCATTTCATGTGGGCCTGAATGGGTGGTCATGTTTATGTAATTTATGCAATTTTTCCCATGGATAAAGAATTTGTTTCCTTTAAAGTGCCTTTTCTTCTCGATTTGCAATGTTTGATTTTCTTTTAATTATAATTTATAAGTAAATTTATTAATTTATTGTTGATATTTACATGTCTCCAAGAGCAACCTAGTCCTCAGAGAATGCAGACATTTCTTGGCTTACTTTTTCTTGAATCAAGAAAAAATCCCATACTTTCAGTCACCGCCCCACCAGTTTCAGTGTTTGGTATTTTCAACATAGTTTCCTTAAATTGCGATCTATTCCTATTTCATAATATCCACACCCCAAGGTATATAAGGAAAAAAATATAAAAGTCAATTACACAGGCTTTATAGATTTTAATGGATAGACTCATTCACGTCGGAGGAAATACCCATGTTGTCTGAACAGATCGTCAATGAAAAGTGGATCAATGTGCAGTTCCATTATGACACATCAACGCTCTCCTAGATGTACCCAGTGCCAAAGTACAAAGGCCCATCCTTTGTTTTCACACTTGGCCTATTATTTATTCCAATTTACGCCACTCTCCCAGAAAGGTTGCATAATTATGTAGAAAACGTAGGTGGATTCCCGTGTGAACTTGGTTTGGCTTTCCTTTATCGTGATAACTGCTCTATAAATAACTGACCGACATCAGTGTACCTTCATTCATCTTTGCTGCCTTCGAACCCTTTTGTCCAATGACAAACGCCGAAGCCACATCTCCCCGGTAACCTCCTCCATGGCACCGATGGTAATCCTCAAACACACCATACATACAGCGCGCATGCCTTTGTTGCCACTGCACGAACTCCAAATCGTAGCGTGCGCGTGCAGGGAAAAGTAGTTCGCATACGGCGCCTGTGCGCGGTAAAAGAGGGCTTGTTTGAATTAAATGTACTCTAATAAATAATGCCACATATACATGTACATGTACATGCATATGGACACTCACTGAGGAGCAATAATTTTGTGTTTTAAGTAAATTTTAAGTCAGTTCAGTTTCTTATTTGACCAAAACGCACACGAATTCAATTCTATAGTAATGGAAATAATGGATCTTGGTTAAAACGCTGTAAAACTTTTACGATTATTATTATTATTAAGGGCGTACTCAGTGCGTATATTATGACATCCAGACTGATCAGTACCAACATTAATTTTTTTAGCCCCGAGTTTGTAAATTACATACAAAACGGAGGCATACAATTCACCTCTCCTGCCGTCAGATTCTTTGAAAGTTTCGTTAAATTATTTGAAGCATTCGGAAATTTGACGTTTACAAACCTAACGCTGTCAAAGTGGTAACAACAGTAACTGCAGTCAGGGCGAAATCAATTTCCTATAATTAAATCTTTAATCTCCAAGGGTGTAGACTCCTGAAAAAATATCCCCGGGCGCCACAGAGAAAGGTTGCCTTAGCCGACCCGCTGGTTACTTTGCCGCTGCTAACAACGGCTTCAATTAAAGTAAAAAAAAGGATATGATCGTTCAGTCCTTCCCCTGGGCCCAAAGGGGTGTGTCAATTGTCGAATCTGTATAGTCTCTTTCGCGTTTTACAGTCAAGTTGCTGCAAGACTTACGAGTGCACAGTTACGGCATAACATAAATTCCTTACACAAAACTCGCCCATTAACTCTGGAATACTAGTAAATTTTAAGTGTTAGTTTTTGGCATTCTTCTTTGATAAACTTGACGTCATGGCCCTCCGAATTTCACCTTGAATAAGATTTACCTCGCAGCTAAATTGTGCTTGCATTGCACACCAACTGAGAAGAATCGGGTCTCAATATCATATCTCTTATTTAACATCCAGTCTCAGGTGACTTCAACTTCCAAAAAGCTTAGAACTTATGTTCAGTGTCGCACGCCCTTCCCGGCGTTTTGCCCAAGGATGCGCCCTTTACACGGACTGCGGAGCGTTCAAAATAACTACAACAACACGAGCTCACTCCAGCCGAGGCCACATGGAAGCCGGTACGGTACCATACATGTACATTATGTACCTGTACAAATTAAAAAATTGTGCTACATGTACATGTGTACATGTGTATTAACTGCGAAACTGCGAAGCGTATACTTTAAGCGTGGAATACGGTATTCTGGTACCCCGCTCTATACGACGAAAACGTTAAACTCACGCGAGTAGTCCGTGTGTTAACCAGTTTCCCACTACCGGCGGATTGATTTGTTTTCACCCTGTGTGCTTCGGTCGCCAGGCGACGGGTCAAGAACCAACGTACACACTGCAGATCTCACTTAGCGACGAGAGAACCGAGCGAGCGGGACTGTGTGTGAGGGTCGTCCGTAATAAACACGCCTTCAATATCATCACAACGAGTTAAAAATGTTCAAAAACACATTCCAAAGTGGATTTCTTTCGATATTATACAGCATAGGAAGCAAGCCCCTTCAGCTATGGGCGAAGAAGGTGAGTGATGGTCGATCCAGAGCTCGTTTGCTGGAGAAATGTTGAGAAAAGAGTGACATTTTCCTTGTATTGTTGATTGTGTGCACGATTATTTGTGTGCGTGTGGTGGCCATTGCGGGTTGTGAATGTGCCGTACAAATGAAGGGTTCAGTTGCCAAACAGCGATTGCATTACAGGCCTGTTTTGTTTTGGTTAATACCCTATTATTTCGTGGCATACAGACTACATGTCAGTATTTTCAAAGATGTGTTGATGTTGAAGGTGTTCTTGTTGAACATGTTCTTTTAAAGTTTGAATTGAAATAGGATTTTGTTACTGTAGTGTTAATCGGCTCTCCTTGACAACGCCGCACTAGCTGGCTGCCTACAGTCTTAAATCAGCTTTCCCTTGGGACAAGAAAGTTGGCCTGTGATCCATGGACACACCTAGGGTTTTGACATTGGACCACATGACATAGGATGATCATTCAGAACAGGCTGATTTTGGGAAAGCATGTCAGACAACTTGACTTTGGACAACTCGACCATTGAGACAACTTGAGTGGTGGAACAAGTCAACTTTTTACCAAGTAGTCTGATATGACATCTCGACCATGCTAGGCATGAACATGACGGAATGTGAGGCAATAAACACAGATAGCATATATCAATGTGTTTGGCCAACTTTGCGTGTGTTGCATTTAAGTTGAGACTGGACTCGCCGAGCACAACGTGCATGCATGCGCAGGGGTGTGGCGACGTAGCATTCACAGGACTGATGGACAGCACGTTGGTCGCCCCCAACCAGCGAGGCCACGATAGTGATGCGGCATGCAAGCTTGAAGCAGCACACTATCCATAATGCACAGCCGCCTCGATAATCTAGTCCGCACCGATATTCTTGTCTGCTGTCGTGGGAGGTGGTAAAACTGCTTGGAGAAAAGGTGTGGGTTGAGTTACTGTAGAGTGCATACCCACACATTGTGAGTCAACTTGTCTCAATCAAAGACTTGTTCCAGTGGTCGAGTTGTTTGTCCATATGACATGTATGAAGTTCAGACAATCGAGTTGTCCTACCTGTTGAATTGTCTCACTGGCCAAGTTGTCCCTAGTTGAGTTGACAAACGGTCACGTTGTCTGAGCCCCTAGGGAAAGAACTCCATACACGAAGGCCGCTTGACAGTGACTCGGTATGCTTAAACCCTATATGACTGGTCTTAAAACAAGTTTTTAAAGTGAATGTGTCAATATTTTCCTTGCCCAAGTTTAATTTCTACGAGGACACTTTTATTACTTTCAAATTGCTGGAAGTCACTTGAGGGGGTAACCAGTGGCTTCCATATGTGGAATTCTTTCCAGATTGTACAGTTATGTGGGAGAAAGTGGTTGATTCCATTATGTGCCTTATTTGCTTTGGGCCTCTGTTTGTTTAGTTTTAATAAATGAGTGGTTGTTATGATTTGTTTTTTCATTCAGGTCCATAATGGGCACATCAAGCGTATCACAGACAATGATATCCAGTCACTAGTAATTGAAATCGTAGGAACAAATGTCAGCACAACGTTTATCACAAGTCCAGAGGATGCCAGGAAAGGGCTGGGGATTAAGTTGCCTTTCTTGGTCATGATCATCAAAAACCTTAAGAAATACTTCACATTTGAGGTCCAAGTCCTCGACGACAAGAAAGTCAAGCGGCGGTTCCGGGCCAGCAACTACCAAAGCACAACGAGGGTAAAGCCGTTTATCTGCACAATGCCAATGAGATTGGACGATGGATGGAATCAGATTCAGGTTTGTCCTGTTGTTTGACTTTGTCAACATCCCAATTTGGAAACAGTTCCATTAATAAAACAGCACAGGTTCGGAATGCCAACATATCTTTAAAGAGGTGCTTGTTATTTTAGGGGGAACTTTAGCAAGAAAAGGGTGTTCATGACTAAAGAGATCGAGTGTTACAAGTAAACTTGATGGTGTGTATGACACTTGGAAATTGTATTGTTCCGATATGCAGTTTGGGCTGCCCTATAACAAATGACAGTGTTGCCTACTAAGTTTGTATGTTTTTTCTTTTATATATAGGCTGTACACAATTTGTAATTGCCCAAAGACAGAGCATGATTCTTTTTGAACTTACAGTGAAATTGAAATGCCTTGCAAGGATGGTTTCATACACCCGAACATAAAGAGTTGTACGTTTGACAGAAGAATGATGTCATTTGAGGCTATTTTGGAAATACTTTGAAATGTTCATTTTTCTGCCTGTGAATTATACATTTCTTGCAAAAATGTGCGTGGATTCTCACAGCACCATTGTTGGTAAAAAATTCCTAAAAGAACGATTATTCTCCCACATGGAGCACTGTTTCCATAATGTAGTCAGCCTCAGGTGCTTTCCTGTCAAAGATTGTGGGATCTTGTGCATGGACTTGGTGCGCTATGCAAGCATCATGGCCATGGCTGCAGTGTTACAGGAATGTACAATGTCGTATACTGTATGATATGACACAGAGGGCACAGTACTTTCGCAGAGTGACCCCTAACATGGCTAAGTTGTGGTGATGGAATTTTAACCCTAATAGTATCGGGCATTGATGGGCTTAGAGTACTCAGTACTACAAAATACTACGTTACACTCTGAGCCTGAAGGACCTAGCACTACAAATTGCCAGTTCTGGCTAGGTTTATTCCGTTGTTACTCGTACAGAGAACAATGAAACCATGCATTCATAGTGCCATAGCATTGTATGGTACATTGTCTTATCTATTGTATTTTATGGCTTCAGAGAATAATAATGTCATGTCCTCTTACAATCGACAGGGCTGAGTACTATATTTTACTACTAAGTAGAACTTCGTAGCATTCGGGACTGTTAGGGTTAAGGCACTGACATCTGTACATAAGTTACCTGTGTATGGGAGACTTTGAGATGGTGGTTACAGTCGACTTACCCGTCCTTTGTTGCAGTATTCTGCAAGCTGAAAACTATGCACACGTGCTCAGAATGGCGCGTGCATGCTCAGAACTGGTAAAAAGGACTGATATGTTTGCCACCACCAAACTTCTTAAAGTCTCCCTTTTCTATGAAACTGCTAATCATCCTCAACTTTAACATTTTGGAGGACACTTGTACATCAGGTAACAAACTTGCCAGACTTCCTATCAAAGATTAGTCTTTGCCAAGCATTGCCTTAGCACAGTACAGTGGCATTGTAATACTGCATCACGGTAATGTTGTGTCCCATTTATCATTTTAATGTCATTATACCCTCTTTACCCTGTACAAGTGGCCCATCTTTTGTGATCTCTTGGATTTCGCTCAGGATAAGCATGCTTAACAGCCCTCCTCCTGACACTTCAAAATCTCAGATTTTTAGCACAATAATTAAAAAGTGATTTGACACAGTGTTTTAGACAAATACTGTAAGTAGTCAATATATTACCCAACTGTGTGCTTATGATTTCTGTTTTCACTGTTTTCTGTTTCATGCAGTTCAACTTGTCAGACTTCACGAGACGTGCCTACGGTACAAACTACATTGAAACAATTAGAGTTCAGGTGAGAATGTCGCTCACTTCCAAGAGTACGATCTTAATCTTGTCCTGTCAAATTGTGTTGGGGCTGACATTAACTTTGTTTAAAGCTTGCTGAAAGAGCAAAGAAATGAAAGCGAGGGACACAGCATCAGATTGGGATGGTGATGATTTGTGACAAATTGGTGTAAACTGCAGCTATGAAGTGGACACTGCTTACTTTTGAATGTTTTGTATAATCTGTTGTCATTGTACACATTGTTTTGTAGTTAAACAAAGCGTGCCAACCAAAATTAGATTTGGCAGGAAGATTTTCTGTAGGGGGAAAGACATACAGAAAAGAATGTCTCAGTTCGTAACATTTCAGTATCCTAACACAGTAGGCCTGTTGTCAGATGGAACCTGTTTTTGTGGAATTGTCAAACTTTGGAGGAATCTGAATCTCGGGTTTTGATGACGTGACAGTGTGTTAGCTCATTAGATTGCACGTTATCCACTTGCAGCTCACGGTCTTGACAAAGAGAAAGGCAAGTTCAGTCATGGTACCCATGATTGAACTTGCCATTCTCCTTGCACCCTGAAAAAGAGGAAGGGCGAATGCTATTTATAACGAACCTGGTATCTTTGATTCTGTCCCGCCAGATTCATGCCAACTGCAGGATCCGCCGAGTGTACTTCTCAGACAGACTGTACTCAGAGGATGAACTCCCACAGGAATTCAAGCTCTACTTGCCGGTCAGCAAGTCACTAGGCAAATAGCTTCCCCCCATGAAAGACTAGCTTGGTCTTTCCCTTAACTAGCTAATCATCTGACAAGCCCCAGCCTTTCAAGCCAAGTCACAACTGGGGCTTTTCAGACGATGCAATAAACTTCACAGGCTGGAATCGTTTAGAAACTCAAGGGAAGTTTTTTTAATTTATTAAGAGTTGAAACACCCAACTACACATCTGAGAATGTTATCAATTTTGGGGCCTTTTTAAAAATGTTTTTGTCCAGTTGAGCGGCAGTATTTTTTTCCCCGGACCGTCTTAAACTTGTAACCGAACAAAAATGGAGCTTTCCTATTGTTTGAAATGTGCAGGTGGGCATTCCTTCGTGGTGGCAATGACAGGAGTGGCCTGGCTTTGGGACATATTTTTGGGGTGTTGAGAACTGATGCTGCTGCAGTTACTTGTCTTATTTTTTTTGGGGGGGGGGTTAAATTACCTGCACGCTACAGTTATCCAGTATAATCCTCTACAGTCTTGACTGAATACATACAAATGGGTTTTTACAAACATCTCACAGTGACTGGGCAGGGGTGGGAATTTTAGGCAAGTTAATAATGTTCGGAATACAATGTATTGTCATTTGTTTTTCCACACAGCCATGCCAGTTTCTTGTGCTGTGCAAACACATTTGAAAGTTTTAGTAGCTACTGATATTTTATACAATTACATGTCAGGAGTATTTTCACTGCTCGTTAATTGATTATTGTGTTATTAGCCCGGACATCAAACTGGCCAGCATGTACGTCAATCCCCTTTTTAGAGTTTGCTGCTGATGGAAGAGAAAATACCCTACGCTTTAGAGTCTGAAACAGTGCTTTAGATATTAAATTTGAAGTGCCGTCTTCCCATCGTCATTTTTCTGTCACCTTGCGGTGCAACACAAACAGCACATGACTGCTTTTCCAAGCCAGCAGTGCATTTCGCCTTCCTGAGGTTTTGCAAAGAAGGCTGCACATTACTTGAATCTGCTAAACACATAATGGAATAGAAGCGGAAATTGCTTACAAATTAATTTTTTGACAGCCTACTCAGTCATGGCTGTGGCAGTTCATAATCAAATTTGTGTCATGGGGGACTTCTGTAAAGGTGTCATTGGCCAAACATTTAATTACTGCCATATTGTAGTCATTGCCCAGTAAGAATGTGGAGCAATGCTAATTTCTTATTTTTAAACAATCTAGTATTTGCTGGCAAGGTGCTTTGGGCTGGCAATTTCCAAAGTATCGAAGCTCTTGTTATTTCTCCTCGGTATACTTTTTTGAAACGATGCATGGGTTACTGTAAATATGTTCTTAGCATAAGGTACATGTTGATTCAGTCGTTGTTGAATTACATATTTCAGTGTTGCATTTTGAACTTCCCTCAGTCGGGCCAGACACTATTACATTATGCAACATGTTCTGCAAAAATAGCCAGGAATGTGTTGAGTTAAAAAACCACATTCAAGGTGCAAGTTCTGAATTATAATTGTACATATTTCGAAATGTATTCAGCTGGCGTCTGACGATAATGTAATAAACTTTAGATTACCCTATTTACAAGTACTTGTATTGTTTTTGTCATGATTTTGTCCATGTACTTTTATCAGGGAAGTAGAACTTACATCTGTACGCGTACATGTACACCATTCCAAATTCCAACTTAGAGTTATTCTTTGGATACCATTTCTCAGTATTATAAGTAAACATACACACACACACAAATCCGTGTTATACTAGAGACGGTCGTTTGTGTACAATGTCTAATGTTCTACCCAAGCAAAAACTAACTTTGGCAGAATTACGGCAAGGGCGGCGTACTTCTAATAGAGGGCGCTTTGAGCACCAGCAGAGGGCGCTGTGTAGACGATACAATTTTGACACAACACGTGCTTGACGTGTTTTTCGCTCACTCGTTTTGGCGGCATGTGGAGTTAACCGTCTGCAGGTTTTGCAACAAGTATAACAAGGAAATCGTGATGTTATGTGATCCGTGAGGCGGCTTTCAAACGTATTGTGAAATGAACTTGGGTCTACTTGAGGAGCCAAGCATGTCATGCCTCCTGTTGCTTGCATTATTCATGGTACATGTATACATCATCGACCAGGGAGCCTTGCGCAGTGCGTGCCTGTGACTTGCTGTGAACGGGTATGTACATGTACAATACAAAAGTAGGTTATGTAGTGGTCCAGGTGGACTCCCTGACCGTTATGGAGGAATGCAATGAAGACTGGTGTCCAACCTGGGCTAGTTCTGTGCATGCACGTGTAAAATTAAGTGGCAAAATACCAAACCAATATCCCCTTACACCCCCCCCTGCAGGTCAGTTTGGCAACTGTCACATGGCACACATGTTCCAGTGTACTCTCTCACTAGTTTTGAGAGGGTTTGTAAATTTATACTTTTAAAGACAGCTTTGTTGGATGAAGTACATGTAGTTGCATCTGAAATTCTAAAGGCTAAAAATATTCCTGTCCCATCAAAATCTTTTTTTTTTCTAAACTTGGGAACAATGTGGTATTTGGACTGTCTTCTTCTGACCCAAGTTTCATAATTATACTCATGAATGTGCACCTTCAACACAGTGATCTGATCTTTCAACACATCTTGTACATGTACTTTATGTACACTTACAATTTGTCTACTGGTCGTCTGTGGTAATGTCACTTCTGTGTCGGCTGAACCATTTTTCAGAAGGGAGAGGGATCCTTTCTTTACTAATAGGTAGGGGGGCTACATTTTCATTCACCTGTATCTTTTTGTTCCCTTAAATTGAAAAGTGAAGCCACTTTTTCACACTTGGGCTTTTTCTTTTTATTATTGCCCTTTTAGGATTTTTTTGGGGGTGGTAATTTGGGGTTTCCGTGTAATCAAAGATACATTCCATTGTGTAGTGTTTGAGTTTTTACTTTCCACCAAGTAAATCAAAAGTTATAATACATGTAGGTTCCATTAAGGGTTATAAAAAGTGACTAAAAATTCACCCCAGAGTCAGCTGGGTAATTTTTCTTTCCTCAATGGTGATTTAATATATGTACAATATTCTGTGTAGGCTTTAGCAGCCTTTGCATATTCTGCAAAGATATTATCTTTTAGTGTTGACGTGGTACAGACCTAGACTACATGTATGCACACCAGTACCAGCTATTTTGAGTTGCCTGTTTAACAAAATGAGCATATTCATACCCAGCATACTGCTTAAATTCTCCCTGATTAGACCCCCAACAGACATCACCTGCCCAACTGTCGGTATTTTGAAGAACATTACTTTATGTTTTGAACGCTGCAGTGTATACACAGTGCATTGTGTGTACAAGGGACACTACAGTGACAAAATGCTCTTAATCGAGGGTGCACTTGCATAACAGCTGTCAGATTACAGTATTCGTGTACCTAAACTAACTAAGATCATACCCAAAATGATAACTCCAAGCAACTGCCTCATTGTCTAGGATTTTATTCAAGAGAATTTAAAAATTACAGCATTGGACCAAGTCTAAAGCCTTGGGGATTTGGAGTAAGGGGGAGTCATATCTATTTTATGTTACAAACGAACGTCAACTTGACAACATGTATTTTGTGCATCACTACAAATTCCAATGTAGAGCTATAACACATATACTCATGGTGGACTAGTGGATTTCAGAGTTTCAAGCCTTTCCCTGCCCCAGTATCCAGCGTCCAATACTTGTCAATATTTCCTTTAAGCTGGTTGGTTATCTTTGTGTTCAGAACTTCTTCTGGAAGCCAATTCCACATGTTCACAACTTTCTAGAAGTACTCTCTTATCCAATTCCTTATTGAGCTTCACCTTAAAAAGCTTGAATTTGTGGCCTCTGGTTCCAGTGTTGTGAAACATGAAAAAAAGGTCTTCCTACTTGATGTCGTTCAGACCCCAATCAAGTTTTCCTTCTCCTGACCTCCTCATTAGAGTTATATCTGAGGTCTAGGCCTGTGTTGTATCTTTTTAAGCTGCTTGATATGTTCCTGAAGACCCTCCTTGGTCACCCCCCAGAAGACGAACAGAGCATACTATTTCGGAACGTCGAGTGTTCCCCATCCGCGGTTCTTCTCAGAACCACACGATCATAGAAGAGATTCCTCCTTGTACAAGGTGCAACCGCAAGCCTTACCTAATTTAGTACTTCCACCATGCATAGCTTCAAGTCTTATCAGCTTGATATGGATTCCATGCTTGCACAATTGTATACCTTGTAGAGAATGAAAATGTTTTCCTTATCCATGTGAAATAAATGCTCACTTTAAGTTGATTATCCTCAGACTGGTCATTGCTTCAGAGGCAGCTTTTGAACACGCCATAGGTGGTTTGCTGTTATCTGTGATGTAACCCCTAGATCTTTCTCCATGGCCGTTATGCATGCATATGCACGGATTCTTTCAAAACATGAGGGTGGACCCTGTCAGTATCGGGTGATTTGTCTACTTTCAGCTCACTGAAGAGAGCTGGTCACCCTCCGGCTGACCAGCTCTACCTTTGTCAGCTTTCCATGTGGGACAGTTGATCTTTAAGTGTTAACTCTATTCACTACTAATTCCCTGTCTGAAGTGTAATGGCTGGAAAAAAATATACATTTTACAAAAAAAGCTTGACAAGGATAGTGCTACTTACATGTACTTCAAGCTAGGTACCTTATGTTTCAGTGCGGTGAGTTTTTTGCAGGGCATGTTAACCTAATGTAAACACGGTAGAAGCCACATTATTAAACACGAGTGTCGAACAAGCATTCTTGCCACTTCTGTTCTGACCTAGGTTTCATGCAAAGGATGCAAATGCACAGAAATGTTCCTGTTTTTTTATTTTTGGTTTAATTTGGCCGTGCATGTTTCATGAAAAATATGAAAGTAATTCCATGTAAGACGAGTTTATTCAAAACATTAGTAGCTTAAACGTTCTACAAAATAGGACCATGTAATTAGTTCACATACAGTACCAGGTAAGCAAGATTCACCAAAAAATAAATGAATTGGTATCTTAAATAATTGTGAAATGAGTAAGTTTAGGAGTTGCAACTTTTAAGTAAGTTTAGGAGTTGCAACTTTTAAGTAAGTTTCGGAGTTGCAAATACGTTACACATCAAAGGTAGCACAGGTTTCTTTAAAAGTATGTTTCTCAGTATTGAGAAATTTATGAAAGTTGCCTGGCATACAATATGTACCTGTCACTCATCCCACGTACCAGGTACATTATATAATTGTTTCTTCAAATGTGGCTTCAAAGTGAGTTCAGCAAGCGTTGTGTCTCCCACGTGATCTCACTGTAGAGTTGTAATGACAAAACTTTTGGTGACTCGACTGAGGCCCGACGGGTAAATGAATTGACTCGAGTCTCTCATCAAAACACCCGACTCGAGTGAAAGTTAGTAAGACTCGAGTGGCAAAAATGAAAGCAAAGTTCTTTGCGAGATATAATGTTTGCTGCGATTTGCAGTGCTAGCTGGTTATAATGTTCATGTCATGTGTTATAACCATCAAGAGTAAAATGCGGTGTGTTCACATGTAAAAACACAGAGGTAAATTTAATAATGCCTAAAAATTACTTTCTCTGTTGTTTATTTATCCCTTGTATTCAAATCACGCCTTTCATTTCAAAACAGGGTGGAACATAGCTAGGATTAGTGCCTGTTGAATTAATACCATGAATTGTATTCAATTGCCTCTATCAAACGAGTTACAAAATCTACACGAAGTTCGAAGTTTTAAGTTGATTTTAAATGCGTCACGTGTCCACCAATTACTGTTTCGGCTGGAAGTGGGTTAATTACTGAAAGAACGATACTGTCACAGGGCTTAAAGTAAATGATGGCCGAGGTATTTGAATGTCTGTTACTTTTCAATAAATATGAAGATCGCACACAAGTCCACATACTGTTAACCCTAACAGTCCTCAATCCTCCAACAGGCGAAGGATGGATGACCGTTGGGGTTAAAGAACATAACGCCCATTGTTCCGTGAGAAACGGTTTATTTATGTTTCCCCAACACCTCAAGGATAACGATATGAAATTTGTAACCTCCGAGAAACCCAATCCAAAACAAAACTGAACTCTCGAAAATCCATCAAGTGCCCCTCAAGATTTGAACCAAATTTCCTGGGGACAGTCCAATTTCTTCAAAATTTTCACTTGATACATAATACGGTAAATTTAGCGAAATTTTTGTAACTGCTCTACTAAATTCTATAAAAAAAGTTACATTATTTTTGAAACACAATGTGGGACAGAGCACATTTCAAGTTGGTTTTCTCGATGAGTAAATTCATGCACAGCCGAACTGATCCTTTTCAGGCTCTTAAACCGATTTAATCCCCGTCATCTGATTGGTAGGTTGTCGATCATATGTCATCAAATGAATTGCATTCAAATAGTGAATAGTGTAATTAAAGGACTAGTATTTTGAGGAGACCACTGTCACCGCATGAAATTATTATTCATGAAACATTCATTATTTGTTTTAACCAAATCCTCATCTGTTAGAACAGATAGTTCCCGCTTGCGAAACAGATTCGTGTCAGATGCGCAACCCACTGTGAGTATCGTGCAGTGTTAGACTGTTCCCGTCCTTAATGTATTTTTCCTTTCTGACTGAGTATAAACAATACGAAATGAGATGGTAACCAGTCAAATGAAGTTGCACTCAACGGATACCGTTGGGTGGAACGAGTAATTCAATGACGTGTGATCAACGGTCCACCAGTCAGATGACGGGGGGGGGTATGCAGGTACATATTATGTATTATGTAATTCTGCATGTGAAACGGTGATCGTTTCACATGTCTAAAGCAGCAGTAACGCGTGCATTTTTAATTATATGTTATACATTGATAAGCTAGACAAAGCACAGTATTTAAATTTAAGCTTTGCTCATAAAGAGTAAATGATGCCAACATAAATGAAATGGTGAAGCAATGTGTTTTTACCATTTCCCTGGACAAGACAAAACAAGAATCGAAGCAAATAACAGACCTACGGACAGGGCAATAACGTCAGTAGTGAGACTTGATAGCTTATAAAATAATTACATTTCAGTCTCAGAATAAGATGTAGTAAGTATTTTCTTCAGTTTTGAATCAAGAAACTGCAGTATTACACTTTTAAATTTAATATCATTTGACTCCAATATTCAACACCACATTGAAAAAAATTATGATGTTCTCTTTTGTCACACAAATAGATCACCTCTTCATGAACTACATGTCCCCATCTGAGTGAACAACGGACGCAAGTGAAAATAGATGATCAAACACTTTTGGGAGCATGTTGTGAACATATCTGAGCGTAAATATGCCCAGGCGGAGATGATAAAGATCATAAAACCAAGTATTCAGTCTACCAAATAAAGAAGTGGTGTGGTCAAGGTAACCTGCGTTGCTTATAATTCGAATAGCTTTCTTCTGCAATGAAGAGTCGACGTACCGATAGCACTTTTCAGTTGCCTGACAGATTTTTGAACTCGTAAAAAGTGATGCTGATGCTTCTCATGGAAATAAATGAAATGCTATTACGGCAGCTCCGAGGCACAAACAAGAAACGTCAGTCAGTTCTAACCTCCTGTCGCGACTTGACACCGGACTGAGAAACTGAGATGGCAATTTTTACACAAAGGGGATTTATTCAGGTGTGGTAGAGAACACATATTGAATGTTTCACATTCGCACAGTGGAAAGAATAATTCCTTTTGGTTTCGCCACGTAGCATAGAAAAACTCAATCTGTCCCTTCAAGAATAATTCTTTTAACTGCACTCGGACACATTCATAACATCTGTATTATGAAAATGTGCTTATAGTTTGTCGATAATAATTGAATGTCGACTGAAGTGCAAGAAAAAGTCAATCAAAAATTCAGTGTTCATTTTTGGTGTACACTGTGTTCTTTTACAGCTGTAATATTAATACGGGCGATACACAATAGCACGACTCCGCGAGTTTGCAACGCGTCGTCCAATCACAGTGCGCGACACCCGTCAACCTATTCCACACGCGCATTGTGTCGACAGGTTTCGTGCACTGTGATTGGCCAACGTGTTGCAGACTCTTGGAGGCGCGCTATTGTGAAACGCTCGTATTGGCTTTGCGTCAGGGATGTTAATTTTATACTTACTTGGTTTTGGCCTTACACTGACGTATTATACAAATACTGCATAGTTCGAGGGGAGAGTTACCTCCCAACGTGAAGCAGAGGCAGTTAGTCAAGCTTTCCTACACCTCTGAACCAGTACTTCCCACTATTTTCCAGAAATAAAACCATGCTGTATTTCATTTACTACTCCTTATAAACTTATTCACAAGCAAATTGTTAAAATGACAAGTCTAAGGCCAACATACAATTTGTGTCTAAGCTTTAGAGTTCTGCGTGTCAGGCAAGAACTCCAAACTGCCTGGTTCCGTTAAGATTACATGTGACTGACTACCTGTCTACGAGGCGGTTTCCAGTGGCAATCTTTGGTGCTATATACCAGAAAAACTACTGCACGGCAGTGAGCTGAATTCTCACCGGGGTGACGTCACTTGGGCGTTCTGCTTTCCGGACGCGCGGCGAAATCGGCCAATGACTTGCTCCAATTTGCTCATAAATATTTATGAGGTATAGTAAATGTTCAATACACTGTTTACATTCTCAGTTTGCTGTAAGACGTCTGCACTGGTGAGCAGCCGAGCAAACTTGTGTTTTTGGCCCACGCAAAGAAAACTGTGTGAATACATACATCAGTGTAAGGGTATGACATTGTTTTATGGCGATATTCAGATTACATTGATTACGTTGTTGTGGTGGACTATGACGCCCTCAGCGCTCATGAAAGGCGAGTCTCACGGGCTCGGATGAAGTTACGTTGATCCCAAACCATTTTAGGTCAGGGTCACTGTCGCACAGATTCTCCATACGAAACTTTGACACCAACTGTAAAAAAAGAGTGTTTTTCTGAAATCTTAATTAAAATGTTCAAGTTGCAAAACATTTATATTCTATATTTCATTCATTTTAAATTTCAGTGGCTGTTTATCATCGACTTTGTTTTTAAAACTGTAGACCATTTTTGATTGGCACATAAACTTAATCTAGAAACCAGCGGCTTCCATCTCTCGTAAATCGACTGTTTATTTATTTAGATTTTTGACATTCGGCTTTAACACTGGTAGAGTGAAAGTAAAGTAATGTTTTGAAGTTTCTTCATAATGATTAAACAAAAGTAGTGAAATCGGCATTGGTGTAATAACCAGGACGGTGTTTTGCTCACATTTGCCAGCAAAATGTACATTTCCTGGTCGACCAGCCTTCTTCCCACACAGCTGCGGGGGCCGAATCCAAAGGGGAGATGTGAAAATGCCATGTCTGGGGCCTTACGAACATCAAGCCAGCGCTCCGGTCTGTATTCGTTGGGTTCCTCGAAAATCTCCGGGTCCCGACACATGACTTGGAAGCACATGTTAATGTAAGTCTGTTCCATGAGATTTCAAAAACAAAACGCACACTATGTGGTAAAAATCGGGTTGGCAGATGTTTTTGTACATTCCGGTACATTCTGAGTTTCGGTACAAAGTTGAGTAAACTGAATAACTACATATAAGGTTAGGCTGGTTTATTGGTTTGTTTGTGGCAAAACAAGTCATTAGAAAATGACATGTTAGCATCAAAATTTGTCCAGTTAGGCCTACTTAAAATAGGAGGAAAGTGAGCAGGCAGGGGTCTCTACTGTTGCGTTTGATGTCTGCATAGTGCAAATATGGTGGGAATGTTACTATCATTCGTTAACTTACTCCTTTCGGAACATTGTAGCCATTTATCACGATGTCGTGGTCGAGAATGCGTGATGTTCCTGGGACTGTCATGAACATTCTAACACAGAAGAAAAATTAAGGAGAACTTAAAGAACTTAAGTCGGAAGAGTTTCTTTCGTTGAAAGCCCATTTGGTTCCCCATTGCAAACTTGTCAGCACACATAATTGTCACGTTAAGTTGTTTGGTTCTCGTGTTTTGTGTACTTCCACACAGAAACACCTGAAAAAGTCGAATCAAACTCATAATCAAATCAGGGACTTGAACGAAAACTTTTCATTGCATAGTTTCCAGTTGGCGTAGAGCTCCCTGTAATTTGAGATGTTGGTTTGTTTTATGTTTCGTCTTTATTGTTGATGTCCGTTGTCCTCGCGGTGGCATGTTTCACTACCGGGGGGGATCTTCATCACGAACCTGCTTGATTCCTTGACGCAGCATTTCAGGTACCTCAGATCCTTCAACTTGTCAACTGTTACTCGGCCTCCCTGAAGAACCTCATTAATCTCACTGTACAGTTTCTCCTGGACGTGAGGGTTGTTCGCAATGCAGTAAAGTAGCATGTTCACAGAATTTGACGTCTGTGTAGACAAAGAAAATCGTGGTTGGGTGCAGCATGGCGACGGAGATTTGGTCGTTCTTGGGTATAAAAGAATTTCTACTTTCTCAGGTGAGGATCCAGGGGGTTGGGGTCGACACCCCCCCCCCAGTTCTGAGCCAAAAAAGATTAAAAAGAAAAAAGGGAGGGGGAATGATAAAAGAATAAAGTGCACCAATACCATTGTAAACAGTTATGCCATGTGTAACGTTTCACCATCTTTCCGCTTGTCCGGAAAAATGAGATATTAAAAAATCTCTGGTCTGACCCGCCCCTGTCACAATTCCTGGATCCGCCCCTCGACTGTATCTTTTGTTCAACCTTTAGCAACCATTTTAATTGTAACATCTTTACCGTTTGCAACTGAAGGCAGCTTCTCAGTTGAGGACCTGCTGTTCTGTGGCGTAATTCCTTCCTTTTGCGTTCGTGATGGAATCCATAAACATACTCAAGCACCCCAGCTGAAGACCTTACGCTGACGTGGAATAACCCAGATTTTTGATAATACCGAACATCATGAACAAAGAGGCCTTTTGGATATACCCTTCACATGTTCATAAAGAGCACGATTTAGTATGAGGACCATTGAAGCCCTACTCAGAGATGTTTTTCAGCTTAGGGCTTAGAGTTGTCAGCACTAAGAGCATGCACTTGGCAGAAAGTGCGGCCCTCATCACACACTTATGACCAATGTCTTGGCCCGGTCCACTTACAGTGTCCAAACTGACTTGGAGAAGATCTTGAGTGTAAACCAGAACTGCCTCGGCTGGAAGGTTCTTTGCAAGGAAGTATGAGTAAACATCAGGAGCCGTGCTGTCTGTTAGGTCCCCGCCCTCAATGGTGTCCTTTTTTCGGGAAGAACAGACTATCGATAGCAGTTATGTAGGCCTGCATGTACACGCACTGAACACATTCTCTGCATGGGTTCTGGTCACTGTGATTAGAGCTGCTCGTCAGTAGAGCTTAGTACAAGAAGTTCTGTTTGTTATATTGACGTGATTTTGACAAGATATTTGTAGACTTATGGTGTCAGAAGACAAGATTATCACATTGAAAACAGTTTGTGTTGGGTTTTGTTCCTGGAGAGAAAAGTCTGCTTTTCTCTTTTCATATACATGTACTGACAACATGTTGACAACGTTCCATGAATAATTTAGCTGTTAACTGCGATGCCCATGAACTGCCGTTTTGATTTGAACCTACGACCAAACCACAACTAGGTCGGTGGTAAGACTTTTATGTGAGGATATTGGTTCGAATCCTATCTGAGCAAGCGGGGCGCTTTTCAAAAACTCTTCAAAGCAGTGAAAATGTGTTTCTATGACAAGTGGATTTTTTGCACACACCCTCGGGCAAAACAAGCTCACCTTGTCAACATGACAAGCTTTTACTGCAGGTATTCAACCCTCAAGCTTCAGTCATCTTTTTGAGTACACAATGGATCCATTATTTTTGCAAGTTTCGTCAGAAGAGCTAATTTAAACCAGTTGGCAATAGTAAGTCTGATTTCACGGAAGATGTTACTTATAATAGTCTGTTTGTAGACGCCATTTTTTACCTTTGTGGACAAATTAACGCCTCACCTTCATCCTGTCACCGTATTCCTCCATGAGTTTGGATGTTATCGCGCACATATTCAGCCAGTGTCTCTTCATGGCTTTGTACGTCTTGTTTGGAAAGTACCTGAAGAGTTGGAATGCCGACATGTCCAGCTTCGCCGAATGGGGCCAGAAGAGCCTATTTTCCGCCAAGAAGCGGTGTGCGTCCAAGTCAAGGTCGAAACCCGGTCGGATTCCTCCGAGACGCTTACTCAGTGCAATCGATCCCATCACTGCACGAGAGTAATACAGGTCTAACATGTCAGTCAACCGGACTGTTTTAAAACATTCAAATATGTTATGAAAATCCTGCCTACCCAGCAAAAAGAGCATTCAGAGATAATAAGGTTCGAGAAAAATCCTTAATATCAAAATACAATTTCGACCAGTTTTTAGTAAGAAATTTGGAAATGTTTATATTATGTAATGTGTTCTTCGTTAGTCCATAATTCATTGATCAACCTTTTTTCACTTTAAAACGTTAAAGCAGAGGCCTTTTTTTTCTCCCCATCACTTCGCACAGGATTTTTTGCCACATCATGAAAACATACATGCGCGCACACGTGGATGTGAGAAAAAATGTTGCATGCATGCACACGTCTCTTTTTCAATACTGTTCACGCATGAACATGCTCACACCCTGATTCATGTAGAACGGAGTATGGTCGCTTGGCCCAGCTAACAATGAACAATTTTGTCCATTTGCGAAGATAAAGATGTATGGAGACTAAACATTTGTCAACTGTTTGTTTATGATTACTAAGAAACTAAACGACACTTTGAAATTTATTAAATTGTTTTTTGAGTCAGATTTAATGAAGTGGACAGAAAACGAAAAATCCCAAACTATCGATTTTTCAAGTATTCGTCATTCCATGAAAACATTTGTCATTCTATATCAAGGTAGAGTCCATGTTTATTTTCTCCAAAGATTTTCTGGTCTTCGCTGTGCGTGGTGCTTGAGACAGTTATGCGAGAGGGAAGCCCGTGCTCAGTTAAATGTAGATCGAGACAATTTTAACAGCGACATTTCAGAGCTTTTTGACGTACGAAAAGAGTTAGGACGTGCTTGGGTGGCGTGGTGAACCTTCCCTCTTCCATCTGAAATGTCCATATGATAGTACAGCATCCCAACAGTGGCCTTTTCTGGTCAGATCCTGCTGTCTGGCTTCTCGTGCTAATCTCGTGTTGACTAAATGACAGAGGGTGCAACTGTCTTCCTGGCGGTATAAGGGTCCAGATCAGTAAATAAGTTGCCATAGACAACAGTGATAAATACCCCAACTTCAAAAAATCTGGAAAAATACAAGCTTCGAAGGTGTTTAAGACACATTTCAAATTAAAGCTTCACATCCTCATTTTTCAGTTTCCTTGTCAGTTTTCAGTCACTTAATCGATGACTTTTCGGAATTCGAAGATATTTCTCTTTTGAAGATATGGCCTGCAACCATAACTGGGTGACCCAGATGGAGTTCGAAGTAGTCTGGGTGGACAGTCCATCCAGGAGAAGGACCACTATGATTCAAACTCCAATCTCGAACCTAGGATTGGGGTGTTACTGGTGGAAGCTGTCAAGGGCCTCTTTTTCCGGTCCCGCTGCGCCCTCCCACCCACTATCTAGCTTCTCAGGAATGTACCACGAGAGCACGTTTTGGTCGAGGAATGCAATTCAATTCAATTCTGAACGCGTGTACTGGTCGCTAACATCCACGGCTTGTCTTGTCATCACCCCGCTGAAGCCAATAATCTGGATGTAAGTCCACTCAAGGTAGCCCACTCGTTGACAGTCCCTTTTGTAAGGTTGTATTGCTGCTGTAAATGTTTTGGTATTTTTGCTGTGGTATTTTTCCGAACAGTGAAGACAGAAAATTAATGTTCTGCTCGTTCGCAAAAGCCAAATACCACCCTAGTGTTATTGTAGGCGCTCTCAGCAAGATTATGAAAGCAACGGTGAACATTAGACTCAGTGAGCAGCTCCTCAGGAATAACCTAATCCTTACTTGTCAGTTTGGCTGGCGTCCTGGCCATTCTGCCTCTCATGCCCTTGTTTACCTTTCCCACTGGTGGCACTCAACCTTGAGTCAGAGTCAGAAGGACGTGCTGTTGTAAAGGATATCAAGGGTACTTTGACCGGTTGTGGCATGATGCTGGCCTCCTCTCCCAACTAAAGGTCCAATGACGTTGATGGAAAACTGGTCGACTGGACGTCATCTTACCTCAGGAGACGCCCAAATCGTAGGTTGGTAAGTAGGGCGTTTATAGTCGGTCTTCAAGCCTGAAACTTTTGTTAATGCTGTTTCCCAACAAGGAAGCTCCCCCTTTTCTTGTCTACATCAATGACATTTCTGATTCCCGGGAACAGTGAGGCGGCTGTCTCTGCTGATATGAAATCACTTAGCATAATAAGCTTATTTAAGGATGGCTCAGCAGTACCCAGAGTCGAGTTCTCGGCGCAGTTGAATATCGAAATGGTGGTAGAAGGTGATCTTCGAGTCTTGCCAGACACGATTTAGTTTGGTGATATCCTGGGAAAACCCACCAAAACCGTCTTTCCCTCACATTCTTGAAGCGGTTGATGTACCGGTACTCAAGCTTCTTGTGCATAACTTTTAGCTGCTATTTGAGATAGAAGAAACATAATTATCCAGTCAATGGCTAAAAGCGGCACACCTGAGTTATTCATTCTCAGAAGGCCATCATTGGCTTTGTCGACGGGGCACCATGCATGTACTACTCTTCAAATCATTCATACACAGTAAAGTGAAGTGCCTGTGCTCCACTCTGCTCGGTGAGTGCACCTGGTTCATACCTTTATATTCTTGATCACATCCAACAGAGGTACATGGAAATTTTCGGTGCTGTACCAGATGGCGAAGTTGTAGAAAACCGCCAACCTCTTTGTCATCAGCGTACATGTATCTACAAAATACACCTGAATTCATGCCCAGTACTTTTGAGAATTCTTCAATTAAGCCTGTGCTGGCATTCCTAGCAACCTTCGTCTTCCTCCGCAGCATTGCATCCATATTCTCTGCAGCATCCCCTCTCCTGGTGTTAGAAGAGCCCAGACCCAGCTGGATTATGGAAGGGGCTTCCTACCAGTCACTTTAAACGTCTGGAATAGTGTCCCCCGATGTCATCAAGCAGCCGTCGGTGGAGGGGGCTCAGTGTGTCAAGGAGGCCGTGCATCATTTCTTGATTGCTAGCGGAATTGGCTTATGTATAAGTAAAGTTTTTTGAAAAACGGTTGTCTTAATGCCGTTTTCTCTATTACGGTTTGACACGTTGTGTTATGTTCGGGTGGATCTGTTACAGTGGTACCCATTATATGAGCCGTTCTATATTCAGTGTCGTAGCCTTAATACCGCTGCTTGGGCTGAAATTTGAGCCAAACTCACTCTCTAAGGAACATTTCATGATTTCTGTCAGAAGATTTGGCACCTCCCCGGGTTTCAGCTGATGTCCGTCAACCTCTCGCGGTCCAGCAGTTGCCAATTGGCGAATGTGCTCAACGAAGTCATCGACGACGTCGTTGATACGGGGAATGTAGTCTTCCACAGCCCGTGGCTGGAGTACTTTGTTGTTCCAAATGCTCCGTCCATGTTTCCAACGCTCACCATCCCTGCCCAGATAGAAGAATTTGCTGATTTGCATGTTCAGAACGAAGGACAAGACATGTGTGGGGATCGGACAAACAATTTGCAAGCACCCGACATTATTCATTTGAAAACTCGGTCTATCGCCCATCACTGATCTTAGAAATAACTTATTATAACCAATTAAACAGGGCAAAATGACATTTCCTCTGACCTAGTGTCACACGTATGCCCTATATCGCGCTACCTCGTTAACAAACAAATTCATTCCAGCTCTCCAGCTTAATCCGATAAATTTGCTCTCCATAAGTGCTGCAGATACTTCTTTCCTTGTAAGTGTCACGTCTGTCCGTCCAAACGTTTTTCAGTCGGTCGGTAACAATTGTTGTGTAGGCTACCCATTTTGATTTTAAAAAATTTGCATGAGTTGTCGTCTGTTATGCCGATTACCACTTTTCCTGACCCCGAGAGTAATTACACCAATCTTTCTCTATTCGTGCCAAAACTCAAAGATAAAGGTGTCCTCTACAATTCAATAAAGGGATGAGGTTTCTTTCATTGGAGTAAACATTTCGTCTTACTCTGGTCACCATAAGCCAGCACAAAAATTACCATTCATTAGGTAAACGAATTTCTGTCTTTCATGATGCTTACTCGAATGGAAATCCTAAGTGTCTGAGATTTTCCTTGCGCAAGAAATAGATTGCCATCCGAGGACGCTCGGGATACTTGCCCTCTTGGGCAAACACCTGCTTTGCAGTGGCCGGTGAATAGACGTTGACCCACTGACGATGAAACACTCGCTCCGCTACAATCTTGCTTTCCTTTCCGTACTCCTCGTATCTAATTGTTTTTCAGAAGTATGAACGTACATATTCATTTTAAGTGCATGCTACAGTTTTTTGTGAACTTTATGGACCATTTTGTCTCTTCGTCTTTATGAATACATCAAGGAATATTCTTGCAACTAGCCAGAGTCAAGAATTTTTCTTAAAATTAAAGGAAATAGGCTGATGTCTTTCAGTAGTTAAACTCAAAATTTACTCATTGAAAACATTTGCGAGACAGAGGTAGCTGCACATGTATTTGGCTTATTTGGCATGAAAGTTGGCCGGATGGCACGCTTCCGAAAAATACGGAAATCGCCAAACAAATGCAACTTTACTACATCAAAATATAAAATTCATTATATTTAGGCTATGCACTAATCAGTACAACGTAGAAGCTTAGTGTCTAGGTTGATGTCACCATTTTGCTAAAGGATAGGTAAATTTGCATTAGCATAAAAACTAAAAAGGGTCCAAAAACAGAGTAAAATAGCAAAACAAATATTGAATATAAGATCAATTGAAACCCAAAGTTCCATTTTCAAGGACAGGAGGGTAACGGAGGCATTTGCGGGGGTGGGGGTGGGCACAGTCCATTTGCCAACTTGTACGTGGTACGCTATACATGTAATGCTTCAGGGGAAATGCCGACGGCCAATGCATATCTTTTATGTTCCAAGTTTTGGATTCAGAGGTCGACCGAAGCCGTGCCGACTGGAATTAATTGTGCGGGCACCCCCGGTCGCTAAGCGAGGGCTATAGTAAAATAATTGTATTACATGGGCCCTTTAAGGGGAAGGCAGAAAAGCTCGGCTTAAACCGTTACCTTCTTGTTTACATCATTTAATGATCATATGCACAGAAAATAAATGCCTAGCCACGGGCCTCCTCCAGTTGAGTCATAAATTTGTACTCACACACTACACCGACTCAGGTGACTCTAGTTGACTCAAGTTAACTCAAGTGAATCACTTGAGTCAAAATGATGGAAAACAAGAGGATCAAGGACTATACAAACATTAGATATACAGGAACGAGACAAGACTTAACCGTGGCTGAATCCATCTATCTCATGGGTACACTGTATATATGACTCATGGGTACACTGTATATATGATTAAGTGGCATTACAAATTTTGCAAATATGTATTAAGTAGTGTCATTTTTAGTTTCTTGGCAAATGTAGGCAGAGTTGGCGATGATTTTAAAGTGTCATTCAATATGTTCCAACTTGAAATGCCACGATTAACTAGACTATTTCTATTTAGGGCTGTTCTACTGAATTAAACATAGAGATGCTGTCTGGACCTACTTCGGGTATTACAGGAATGGACATTTGATGCTAAGGTAAAATATGCATTAAAACAAGATTGTAATGCATTATTTGTATATTTATACATAAATTTGCATCAATAAACTTTGTACAAATCATTAAAACGTAGGATTTTAAGTTACGCAAACAATGGAGCAGCATGATCACAATAACCAGCCTTAACAATGACACGTACAGCTCTTTTTTGCAACTTAAGGATTTTTTTACAAAAAGATGTAGCCCCACCCCATGTGATAACGGAATAGTTCAAATACGGAAGAACAAAGCAATACAGGGCCGGCAAGCAAAATACTGCTTGGTAAATAAAACTTTAAGCGATTCATTATGCCAATATTTTGTGAAACTTTACTTGCTACATCATCACAGTGGTCCTTCCAACATTGTGGTTAATTATAGTATCTAAAGCCTTATACAGATCTAAAAAAAATATCCCAATTGTAAATTTCTTCCTTCTATCCATACTACACACGCATAATTTTTAACGTCGCTTATATTTCTTTCTTGTGCATAGGCCTATATTTAGAACAGCTAATCCAACAATAATGCATGTAGGCCTTTTGATAAACCATTTGTCCTTGGTTCGGATGGTTAGGATGACCATACGTTCTCAGAACCCTTTCCATAAGGTCATTTTTCGTCATTAAACGTGATCTTGGTTTTACTTGCCAACTTTATCGTGCCTTTGTCTAAAATGCATGACCTCGTATTGTTTCATCACTATTGCCTTTATATGAATTATGGGCTTTAGTTTACATGTATTATGCACGATGCTGGTATTTTGTCAACGTATTTTTGATTCCACGTATGTGTCCAAAAAACTATTGCCTGGTAGCTCTGTTAGAGGAGTGTTATACTTAGAACCAACAAGCCGAGGGTTGGAGTCTATTATGTAGTAATTTTTTTCTTGGTTGGGAATTAGTTGGTTGGTGGATGCTTTTATAAAAGGAAAGTAAATCCCAACAGTTACCTAAGAACTTAACTTTCTAAGTGTTCACTAAGTTGATCGACCTTGGAGTTAACCACGCCCGTATATGATAACTGCCCCTAACTCTCCTGGGGAAAAAATACGCATTCGGGGCAAGCTTTTTGCTTACATGTAGTTACATAAGAGACGCCTTGCACTAACTGTTTTTAGTGGATACGACGGGCACAAAGGTACCAGTCCATTCCAGAGATGGTAACCGCTATTGTAAAACTTGCCCGAATCACGAGGCGCAACAACAGTGTCTTTAGTCAAGGAAATTCAAAATGTTTTGTTTATGTGGAAAAAGATAACACTGTGTACCAGATTTTGTTTAAATCTAACTCGCAAAGGGCTTTCCATGAAGTCATAGCTCTAATTCATCGATGGACGGTGAACAACTGGTGGACAAGTCTGATCCTTTCCAGTTGGGTGTCCACAGTTCGTGGTGTTTTTAAACGTTTATACGCAATCAACGTTGATAACGTATTCTACATCAGAGGAGCCATGGACGAGCGTTTAATGTGCAGCGATAGGAAGAATCACGGCTGCCGTGAAACGAATTTTGTTGTGAAGTTGTGTTTACATTTTGTGTATATTTTAAAAACAATTTTGTACGTATTCCCTACTATAAATCATACTTTTGCAAATTAAACAAAGCATGATGAACGAAGTCTATTTAACTAAAAGAGAAACTAGAAAAGGCCTATAAATACAAAACCCCGCAGGTTACTGAGGGTACCAGTCAAAATCTACCATTAATTGCTTGACAGTTTTCTCATTAAGGGAGCATCTGCTCATTGAGTAAGCAGGAGGTCGTGGGTTCTTTTGGGAACTTTTAATGCAGTTTTTAGTTTCAAGCATTTTTCTTAGATTTTTTTCCTGGGAAAAATGTTAGAGGATAAACAGTTCGTAGGGATCAGGTTTTTGACCCAACACGCACATAGTCAGTTTGTCAGACACTGCAGCTGTCCCTTCACTCGAGCCACTTTGCACCCGAATGAATTCACAGCATGATTTCCACAGACTAAAATGATAAACACGGGAAAAAAACACTTTTATATGGATTCTTTTAGCATGAACAGTGTTAGAATTCAGCTTTTTAGCTGATTTCAGCTTTTTTGTACACTGGATCTGTACAAATTAAAGTATGGGAACATTTTACATTTCTTTTTTTTTGCTAGCTGTTTTCAGTTTTAATTTCAAGTGGCCACTCACACCCCTGCTTGATTTCACTGTTTTCCATTAGAGCTGTAATACAGTCCGGTAAGGTTGATCATATTGTTGTGTTGTCTTTCTTATCCTAGCCCTCGTCAAACTGATGACCGGGCAATTTTGTTTGTAGATAATTGTGTGGCCTCAAATTCATTAAAAATAACTTTTTCATCTGTTTTTTTACATTTTGCATATAGTTATGAATACATGTGGAGTAATGGTGCAGTCTGTTTTTAATTCACGGCCTGGCCAAGAAGCAACTTTACTTCTCTTGTTTCTAGTGTGCCTCTCTCGTTGCAGCAAGTAAACAACAATACATGTATTGTTTATGTACATGTATATATATATTTTTGCAAAATTATATTGAGTGGAGCAAAAGTACCCATCTAGGCCTATTATTACAAGTGCTGCACTTAAACGCGCAATCCTCATCACCACAAGATAACAAAAATATTCTTCAAGTTAGTGTATTGGCTGCACCTCTACTTTTCTGATCCCAGCCTCACTTGTCGGAGAAATTTAGCGGAATTGTTTTTGGATTGATGTTTGAAAACTAAACTGAAACTCTCAGATTCCCGTCGACTATGTGAATTTTTTGTTGCAGTTTAGGATGAACCAAAGACCAGAGGCAGTGGGATGTCAGGGTTAACCGGGGCAAAATGAAGGGGACTAGTCCAGGAAATCATGATCAGAAATGGAAGGGTCAAAATCACGATCCAGCGGGAGTTATCATAGTGGGAGAATAGGAGCATTTTGAGGTATTCTAACAGGGAGACAGCAAAGGAATAACCACGCTAGGTTGTGAAACAACCGTGGTTGTATGAGTGCATGAATGTGACCCCACTCTTAAATGCCTTTGAAAGAATCTGGCACAGTGATTAAGCAATGGGAATCCTCAACATTTTAACATCTACATCACGTCCGTTTTCAATGCACCAGACTGAGTGACACATCAAAAGACAGAGCTCAAATTTCTCAATCTAATTTTAAGTTAAATCAAAAGCTGCTCCGGAGAAGTGTGACTCATTTTTACAGAGCGGGTCACAAATTTGAAACACTCTGCTCAATGTATTTGCTCGTTTTCTGTATTGATTGTTTCTTGGTCTGTTATTAATGATGTTGGTTAAAAATAGTTTGGTTGAAAAAATTTGCTCCCAGGCTAACTCCTAACCGAGCTTTTATGTTATTAAAAGATTAATTAATGGCAAGACATTTGGGTATCCATAAACTGATATAACTTATTGCAAATTCCGCGAGTTTTTACCTCCGTTCCCACATCCTGTGGTAGTCTTCGGTTGTAAAGCCATTCGTCAAATAGTCAGGTAGGTTTCCAATGATTGGCCAGAGTCTGGGACCAGGGATCTCCTCGAACGGTCTAACCGTCTTTGGCGCCTCGGACGTGGATGCGGTCAACTCGTGGAGGACAGATTTGGAACGAGACCAGTGGACGGCTGGCCCGCAGAAACCATTGCGGGTAACCTTAGGTAAAGCCTGACAGCAACGATACATGCTTGATTCTGATTACGTTGTTGCCTTCTAGTTGTGTTAATTGTGACGTTCACTCCGTTTTATGGAGGCAAAATGCTACCGTCGGGGAAGGTCATGCAGCTACGTCAATTACCTACATCATTCCATCCGTCGTGAAGAAGACACCGCCGTTTCCAAAGCGAAAATACGGTTGTGCGCGTGCGCGACATTTTCTTTGTGGAGCCTGCCCTCTGTTGATGGAATGGACGACTAAATTGTTAAGAAAAGGGGAGGGATTTTTTTACCAAACAATATGAAAACAATGAAAATAAGAGAAGGGACCTGAATATTCATAGTTACTTCTCTGTTCACGTTCAATGTCGCAGTGGCACTAAAACCGTTGTCGATTCGACCATGTTAACACGTCTTGTGTGAGCGGCCTACCGAAGAGGTGGGGGGGGTATTTTTCATTTCGTACGCTTAATTTTTGATCGATTTCAAGGTAATTTTTATGGGCCTCAAACTGATAGAAAATAAGTTTTCTAGAGAAAATGCTCAGTGTCCGGTTGAAGAATGGTATTTAGCTCTTCATCACTCTGATGATTTACTTAAATTTTCATAGCTGGAGGCAAACGGATATAAGGGTATAAACTAGAAAGCAATGCCTGACTGAGGATTAATACATTAAAATATGTATATACCAATATACATGCCCACACAGTCACTTCCCGAATTCCTTCAAATGCTTTCCAAGGCTTCTTTAAATACAAGCAGAGAGTTTACTTTATTGATTGTGAATCTGCCTTTGACAGACAAGTTATCTGCATGTACATTTTCCACTTTCTCAAACAAAACCAGTCCCGCCTGATCAAAATTTCTATAAATGAGATAACAGTGTTCTTTTTGTCCAACACCAGCCAAGCAACTTGCTGGATCTCCTCCAATCCAATTTGGACGCAATATTCGACAGCGGCTTTATGCACAGACGTTTAGTCTTCGAGGAAAATGTTTCTTTCTGTTTTGGTTAGTAGCTCGTAGCCAAAAGACAGCATGAACTCACACAAATTGCTATCACACACAAGCAGCTATCACAACATGGGAGCAAAATACCCAGCTACAGAATACTTTATGGCGACATACTCGATAATGTCATGGTGAGAAATGGTATTTTAATCTCGTGCTTCATACTTCAATAATCATGTTACGATAAGCTGTCAGTGGCCCCGGTAAAGCTTGGCATTTAGAAGGGAACAAATTATGTGCTTGGAGAATGGACACTGATAATGTCCTTCGCAAATGTCCGAGCCGAAGTCCCGAAAGGATATTATTCATGGTGTAAGGAGATTGGCGCACGCGTGGCGCATAATCCAATGTGGTGTGAATTTTGGAATCTCCGAATGTAGAATCACTAATACAAGTGAGGATCGAGATCTTCCACAAATGCAAAAGAAAGGGGATCAGAGTCGAAATCTCACAGTACACCGGAACAGTTTTTAAGACAAGCAAGTGGGTACTTAATCAACTGTTTGGAGAGAAGCCACGTGATGGGCTGTCGACCAATAGGGATGGCTAATTTGTCTGAGGGATACGGATATATAAGGAAGTACAATGTGTCATACGAGACCTACATATCTTTTCCAGTACATAATTCAAACTATATATCACCAAATTTTACAGATGGAGAAGATTGGAATAAAACTTGAGTACTCGTATTTCATCAGTAATGTTGGCCGTCTTGGTTCGCTTTTCATTATAGAGTTCTTCCTTATCTTTTGCCGCAGAGTGAAGTAGGTTGGAGCAACAGGTTGGACAGGCACGGGTGCCTCTAACTTTTGTTTATAATCAACCGTTCAAAAATCTGGAGGCAGACACTAAAATGAATTACATAAGCGTACAAATTACGGGTCCAGCACTATTGCGGGTTGTAGTTATCAGCTTATTTTTAAATTCCACGGTCCCCAAGTATTAAATGTCCGGAAACATTTGACAGACAATGTTGAAAATAATCTTGTACAGGACAAACAACCGTAGTAAGGCTGTCCCACATGTTTTAGTCGAGAAGAGCACATCAAGGCTAATACAAATCGTAGGCAAGTACCAAATCTCAATAGAAATGACCCGTTAACGCCTTCATTGTGCAAGAATAGGGTACGTTTATTCAAAATTTCCAAAACTTTGAAACAAACCCAGATTGAGGAGATGGATAATGAGATATTTTCATCTATCGAATGAGTTTGACGAAGTATATTTAAGACAGACAGTGAAGTAAAATCTCTAATTAGGACTCCGTTGAACTGATAGTGAAAATAATACAACGTGCAGATTAATGATTTTACTGGGTCACGTGGAATGCTATAGTACAAAATTAATATGGTGTTTTTGGCTTATAATAAGGAATGTCTTGTCTATGTACTAATATCTACTTGAACTAAGATTATATACACAAAATATCTCCATGCAAATGTCTCACTGTATAAGATTACTCAAGAGACTGTGCTCATGTGTCAGCCCTCTTGAATTTAAAGGAACCAGGAAATAGAAATGTTATAAACTTTACTAAAAAAAACCCCCTGAAATTGCACATTTGGGTTTCAATTAACATCAGTTTCAATTTGCTTTGTACTTTTAACCCATATTTCGATGGGTATTTTTTTGTTTTTATGCTAATGCTTATTTGCATATTCATGAGCAGAACTGTGATGTCATCCAAGGCGCTGAATCTCAATGTTGCACTGATTTGTGCACAGAAAATTTCTCGATTTTTTAACCACTGCTATGGCAGATTTTATTTTCTTTGGCAATTTATTGCTGTGTAAGTATATGGCAACAATCCAGCAAAAATCCTTTTCACAAAAATGTTCCCAGAAAGCAAATTTGGGGTTCACAATTTGAACATGAAAACATGCAACCTGAACCATGTCTTCCTGTATTTATATCAAAGCAAAACGCCCTCACTTGTCCAGAAATGCTTGGTCAACTTTTAATGTTTGAAAAAGTGCACCGTTCAGTTCACGTAACCCGAAAAAGATGTCAAATAGTCTTCACACATGGAAGAAGAGTACAGAGATACACAAAAAGTGATTCTAAGAAAAATTCATTTCCTGGATCCTTTAAAACGAGGATAACGTTCAAATTGGAATCTGAGAGTAAAAATGACGGCAACAAAATAAACGCTTTTGACTAATTAATGGCAGTTTACATTCTACATTATTAAGAATTTGTGATAATTGTATCTGAATGTTAAAGTCACATAAAAAAAACCTGAAAGTGTGGCTTAGTACCCAAAGTAGTCTCGCACCATCCCATTTAACAGATTACATTGGATGTGATAAAGTCAGGAACATGATCAAGAAATCTTTCCCATGAATAAGGCTTTCTTTGTAAGGGGGGGGAGTTCAGTTCATTTCACGAGTAACACAGAACTTAGCATGTAACAACTGCACAGCTATTACAAATGCTAATTACCACAGCCTCTTTGTCTTAAGTGAAACGGGAGAAAAAAAATGACATATTGAAAGGAGTTTGACAGAGATTAGATGGTGCCGACCAATTCCAGCAAGGTCCTTCGTGCTTTCCTCGCCTTTGTCAAAGCGTACGTCATCGGTCGTCCGCTTCCGTATGATAACCGACAGCACAGTCGCGTTATCTACTGTTAGCTAGCTATCCGTAGCGGCCTAGTACGTGCATGAACACGGACATCTACGTACATGTACGTACGTAAACACCTGTTCAGAACGTGCACATGCAAATACGTGTCGCAGAGACTGTGTGCAATGAGGGGATCAAGGCGAGCAGCGACCTCGTGCGGCCACCGTTCCAATAGTCTTACAGACGTGGGTAATGAAATATAAATGAGGAAACAATGCATGCACAAATTACGATGAGCTGAAACAATATTTTGCTTTTTCTTCCTAGTTATACCGAAAATATCTTCACCATAAATTTACTATATCTTACATCTAACAAAGTAGCCACTGATTTGAAATAAATTGCCGTAAAATGATTTATCGATGATAATCAATGAACAATAAATTAACACAATAAGATCAAGAGAGGCTTAGTAATTAGTACTTGTGTTTTCGCCTCCCCGCTGAAAAGTAATTCATGTTCGAGCATTGCTATTGGCCTGACAAAAACTTCAATATTCGGCATCCAAACTGAGAAGGCTAATCGCGCACGTTAAATCGCAGCTAGCTACCAGTCCCTATATAATAGGGACGGGGACCAGTCTAGTTCGTCCCACGTTAATTCAGCATATTTGAATATCTCGCTGGCCACGGGATAAAACCACTTGACAACTAATTCGGGTCATGTAATCATTCAAAATGAGTGTCCAGAACGCATTCTTTGGACTTCAATTTTCTGAGATGTTTCATTTGACATTTATAGTTATTATTTTATAATTATGACAGTCATTCTAACAAAGGTTTCTATTGTATTCAAATAATATATGGAATCAACAAATAAAGTTCAGCAAAATAGGAGGTTACAGAAACAAGTGACTACAACAAAATTATTTCTACAACTTAAATTATTGTGAAAAGACTAAGCTAAAAAGTTGCAACTTGCAAGCGTAAGGTTATAAGTCAAAAGGTAACACACGTTACTTTCGATATATGTTTTCAGTACTTAAAAAACTTCATTGAAGGTAACCAGGCAAACCTGTCATATTCAACAGACATTGAACATGATTTCCTCCACTTAGAAGTAAGTTCAGCAAGTTTTGTCTTCCATGTTATCTCACTGGAATGTTGAATCCAAAGGTAAAAGCTGTTTGATTATCCCTCGCCTGTAAGGATGACAAGAAACTCATGGAAAGCCTTTAATATTTTTTTTATTGAAAAAGGTCATTGCCTTTTTTCAGAGATACATATTCTGTGCCACTTTCTACCATTAATATGCATGAACACGATGACACTCCCTTTCGGTTAACTATGTCTGAAAAAGAAGTTCCCTTGCTTTTCAAGACAGAGGTCCCTTTGAAACAAAAATGAAATATGACAAACCCTGAAGTAGATTTTGTGAAATATAGGTGAAGAATTTAACAAACGTTCAGTTCTTACAGAAGGTGCTCACATTTAGCAGCTTAATTCTTCCAATTTTGCATTCCCATTTAGGGAAGAAATGGAAATTTCGACTACCGTTTCTAGGAGCTAGCAAGCATGCTAGCTGGAGGAAAGCAAGCACGTCGGCAAATCAAGCAATCTCCCTTATCCACTACATGTACATATTTGTTAGCAATTATACTGAAACAGGAAGTGTCAGCAACGTTATGGCCAATCTGAAAATAATTTATCTTAGCTTACTGCAGATACGTTACGTCTTTGAAACTTGGGTCAAATACGGGCGATTCGACAATAATGCGCCTTCAAGAGTTTGCAATCACAACACGCGAAATTTGTCGACCATTTCCAAACACGCATTGGGTCGACAGATTTCGCGCACTGTGATTGGCCAACGTGTTGCAAACTCTTGGAGGGAACTATTGTGAAACGCCTGTATTGAACTACGAAGGGAGCGGGCAAATGTGGATGCGGGCAGTTAGAGATAGAGAGCTATTTTGATTCCTGAGAACCACATACCTTCAATATCCTGCGTGTCTCGGGTCCTGGTGAGTTATCCCTGCCAGACATAGGTTCTACAAGTGTTGTTAGTCTCCCAGACATTATCCCGGGGAATTGTTTCATCATCGGGTAGTTCAGTCTTCAGGTCATCCCTCACCTGCAGTAATCAAAGTGATTAAAAGAAAATTTGAAAAAAGCTTCCTCGACAGCCCATTTTAAAGCACTGCTATAGAGCAGCATTCAGAATCAGAGCTATTGCTGGCTTGGATTTTGATTGAATTCAGTTAAGAGAGTATCTGAGAGACAAATCTCACTGTCTTTAGTAAATGTTTAGATCATTCATCCAGGTACTCGTGTTAAAAATGATAAATTTGTGAAAGTACAGAGTGATGACAAGAGACCAAGGGAGTCTCAGTCGAGATGATCAGTTACACCAGAACATTTCAAATACAGCCCTTAGCTTGTGTTTTTACAAATGTCGAAGAAATAAGCAGTCCTCTATATCCTTTTAAATTTATATCCTTATAAATTTGGGGGGGTCTACAAACATCTTCTTTGAGCACAAGTGCAACCTCTGGCAGTGTTTGTGAAAGCTAGGTTACATTAAACATGCAAAAAGACACGTAATGCCGTATCGCTAAACCGATACCACGAATGGACGTCTAACTTCCAGGCTCGCAGTGCGTCTGCGCCGAGGTTGGAACCTTCGGCGGCGAAGTTTAGGGGACCATGGCCAAATGCCAAAATATGACATTCAACCAAAAGTTATCTGTTCTTACTCTTTCAGTTTCCCGGAAAACTCGAAGGAGATTCTCCCCAAGAAGCTTCTTGATTTCCTCCTCGGTCCAGCCCCTGTCTATGAGGGCAGTAATCAAATCCGGGAACTTGGACACGTCCTCCAGTCCAGTTGGTAATCTGGTGAGTGTTAGCAGTGTTGATTCAAAGTGGTGTAGCCAAACTAATACGGGCGATTCACAATAGTGGGCCTCCAAGAGTTTGCGGCGCGTTGGCCAATCACAAAGCGCGAAATTTTTCGACCCTTTCCAAACGCACATTGGGTTGACAGATTTTCGCGCATTTTGATTGGCCAACATGTTGCAAACTCTTGGAGGTGCACTAATGTGAAACGCCCATATTACGCATGTCTTGATGATAACTGAATGAATTCAACTGACATCCTCTGTTTTAACCTTCAGAGTAAGTCTTGTGTAGCTTGTTGATATTTTATTGTCGGTGCTGTGTCTTTATTTGTAATACTAAAAAAAACCTCACCCCCCCAAAAAAAATAAATATTTCCAAGGGCCTTATTAAATCAAAATCTGGGGGCTTTGTGTGTTGGAGTCCCTTCTCCCAGATTCGGCCATACAGCGACAGATAGAATCATTTGAACCAGTTGAGGAAAAGGAGTAAAAACACAATTGCAATTTGCAATTGTGAACAGTAACATTACATTTGGCTACTTAATTGTGATGGTGGTTTCTGCTGAAACACGTTTGCTTTGTTAAACACAAAAGCTGTTTACGCCGCCAACCGTGATCGAAAACTTTCATGTCGGGGACCAGGCGTGCGTGATATTCTTGTCAATGTAACACTTGGTTTACGACATCAAAATGCTTAGATGGTTCTTGTGTCTATAAGTATCATTATCTTTTACATTGCCCAAAGACGGTGGGCACTGTAAAACTCTGAGTTTTTATCCCTTGGCAGTAAACGCACAAAAGCTCTTTTCGATTGATTTGTTTGGTGCATTGCTCAGAAGTAGCGATAGGACACAGTAAAGAAGAAGTAGGAAGTAATCTTTTACTTCTGAAGGGAAAATGATTTCTCGAAGTGTGATAAATTGACAGTCACAGCACTTACGTTCCCACTCCGTCATAGTCAGAGCCAAGGCCCACAATGTCAATTCCTGCCCCATTTTCAATGCCTCGAATGTACTCGATGTGTTCTGCATTAAAGAAAAATCGGTGCACAACCGTAAAAATGTTCAACGGCAATGTAAACTTCGATCTCCTTGTGAGCTTGGCTGAGCTTCGCATTCTCACATATTACTGAAATGTATCTCTCCAGTATTGCGCGTGTAGAAGCCCAATCGTAATTGTAGACAAAGTACTCCCCGGCGCATCTAGAGGAGATTTTGGTGACAAATTCAGTGATTTATAGACATGACTTAATTTTGTTTAGTGTAACGGGGTGATTTTGTTTAAATTTAACTAATTTCAAGTTCTCTCACCTATAACTTGATCCATAGTAGCTTCGCTTGGGTCAGCACTAATATTCCTTGGAGGACAGTTGATGTAAACTGTGTAAAAATTCACCATCACCACTCCTTTGTTTTGCACCTGGACATTAATGAAGAATTCCTCAAACAGTTTGGGTGACGATGTTATGAACCGGCCTAATTGCCTAATTCCAAAAGCACCATCCACCGATAGATAAGAATTTCGTTTTGAGTTGCTGGAAAGCTGTTTTTTTTAATTGAAGTCAGGAAACATTCATTTTGCTTTTTAAATAAATCATAAATCAATATCAAAATCAAGTCATTAAAATTACACAGTTCACACAGTTGGCTTCAGAGGTTGTGGGGATTTGGCAGTTTAAGAATCAAGTCTGCCGTCTATACGTTGGCCTTATAGACGGGTCACTTAGTGCTGCATACGGGTCTTGCGGGCGAAGTCTCATCAACAGTGCCACCTCTAGGCTCCACTTGGTTGACTCCAACACTAAAAAGCATGTACTTACAACTCGCTTGAGGACGTCGTCGGGCACATTTCGGTAGGACCCGCAGACAGAGAAGGCGGAGGAGTGGCTGAATATAACAGGAGCCTGGGTGATGTCTAAGACATCATTCATGGTTGCTACGGAGACATGGGACAAGTCAATCAGCATCCCGAGCCGGTTCATCTCCTTAATCACTTTCTGCATGCCAAAAATTCAAGCATCGGTTTTTAAATTTTGACTTTTGCCTGTTACTGTGGAGATTGAGGGGAAGTCACTGCTGTTATGTACTTACCTCTCGTAATTTTGGAGCTCTGTAACAGCATTCCGAATTATTTGATGCACTTTTTATTCAGTTGTGAAATGTGCCTTTTACAAAATAGTGAAGTCTCGAGGAGTTAATGTTATTAGTACACTTGTTGTTTTGCTTCTCTGGTCTAAATATGACAAAAAGCGATGCAAAGTGATGTTTGGTCGGTGTTATCCTACCCTCAAGGCTCACCTGACCAAATTCGGACAGTCCATCGAGGTGTTCGGGTGTACGATCAAAGTCCTCCCTCCAGTTGTCGGCCCTTTGTAAACACAAGAGGAAGTTATTAATTAATTTTAGCACATTTTTGTAACTAGTGTTAAATTGTGAAAAATACGGCACGGATGTTCCCTTTCCGTCTCAAAATGCACGACTGTAATACGGGCGTTTCACAATAGTGCGCCTCCAAGAGTTTGCAACGCGTTGACCAATCACAATGCGCAAAATCTGTCACCCCTTTCCAAATTCTCATTGGGCCTACAGATTTCGCACACTGTGATTGGTCAACGAGTTGCAAACTCTTGGAGGCGCACTTTTATGAATCGCCAGTATTGATGAACAATACGTGTTCTTATTTTTGTCTTTTTTCTTTACGGTTCAGGTGCATCGAGGACATTCAGTTGAAAAGTGATCACACAAAGTTTGTCGTTGATTCCACGAAGGACCTTTATAGACAAACTTAAGATATTAGTACCTTTTAATCTTACAAAATAAAACCCCTGAAAATTTCGAAGCGAAAACCAGCTTAATTTGCTTTATGACACGTCTGATTCGCAGCTTTAAAGTCCCACTCTGTGACCAAAGTATAAATGGGAGACTTTCAGACGCTGGTGGCAGCAGACATACTGGACCTTATTCAGGTTGCACCACAGACATGTCTGTGGGTTGCACTACACCAAAAACGCGCCCGTAGAAAACAGCGCCGCCTGTTGACTCTCGGGAAGTGGTTGGCCTCCGTTTTTTCACTGAAAATTCAAGATTAAGGCCAGAAGATCACTTTTCGTTTCATGGTGATTTAGCCACTTTTTTAGCCATTTTTTAGGAGGATTTAGCCACGAAAATTTTTTTATTCGCTTTTCCCCGGAGAAACCCCCCAAACAGTAGTAAAACGATATGCGCTCAGCTCTGAATGAAGCCGCCAATTCGGGATGTTTCTTTCACAAAGAACCCAAAATTGTGGGTCTATTTTGGATAAAGGCGGTTTGTTGGGTTGTTTGTTTGTTTGTTGGGGTGTTGGGTTGTTTGTTTGTAAGTTGTTTGTTGGGTTGTTAGTGTGGTTTTTTGGTTTGTTTTTTGCTAGATGTTTTGTTTTATTGCGCTGAGAATTTTCTTATAAAAACATGCTAATTGTTTTAGTTTTAAGCAATATATAGGGTGTAAAATGAAGTATCACGTAACCAGTGCACTAAATAGGAATGCCACACATGCAGATGTTGACAATATTTGACATTAAAATGAACAATGTAACTGTGACCACTACGCCTCGTTAAAAATATAGCAAAACAGATGTTAATGTAAAGTTCATCTCAAGAATATTTCCAAAATTAGCACTGACTTTTGAAATCAGAAGTACTTTCTGAATGCAGAAGTACCTTTTGATATTTGAGTTCTGCGCCCGCAGAAAGGACAAAATTAGACTGAATCGTTTAATGCATACGTCTGTAGTTCTTGGTACCTAAATCTGTGTAATAAGAGGGCGTGTAAGGCAAACCAAGTATTCCATCCTAACAAAATATAGGGCGTTCCCTTGTAAAAAGATACGCGAATTCAAAAATAATAAAAAGGATACAGTCCCTTAAATTTATTAAGACGGGTCGCTTAGTGACGTTACAGGCAAGAAATGATTTTAAGAATTTTTGCAAACTATCAATTTCAGATTCTCAGATTATGAGGAGTTTATTTCTTACGACCTATAAATGTATTATAATCAGTACGTTTTCCAGAATAACCCAGTTCGGTTTCGCAACAGCGAGTACTTTTTTTTCGACCGCAATCAAACACAGAGCAAAAAGAATACAACAATATCAAAACCACACAAAAAAAGAAAAATACAATTGGCAAAAATACAAACAGTTTGCATGAAAAAGATGAATCGAAGGCAACTAGACAAGCGCGAAAACAGCAAAGATATCAACTCAGTAGAACTCTAGGGAGCATACAGGCGCGAGATATAAACATCGCACCACTCTCTCAAAATATAAGACAAGACGAGACAAAACAAAACAAGCAGGCCTACTTTGTAGGTCAGGGACAACAAAAAGGAAATGTATTTCCTGGTGATCGGTAGCAAGTCATCCCGCAAGTAATATAATGACAGAACAACAAAAATAACTGTAACAAAAAGGAGGGATAAACGATCAGTCAAGTTCTCAAACCTGCATGCTCTGAATAGAATACACTGTATGTATTATGAAGCCCTTTCGAGGTCATTAGGACGTGCGTGCGACATCTGCCCTATCAGCGTAGCCCTAAAACAGGCGTGCGTGCTTTCTTCCCGAACGACCTTGCTTTTATGGAATACCGAACAAGTTCACTGGCATAGGTCAGTATGTGGGACCAGCGACGAATAAATCCGCGCCATTTACGCTGTCGAATCCCTACACGCCCCGTTCATGATGGTTTTGCCCAGTAATTACCATTTAGTTGTAGAGACTTCTTTCCAGAACACCTTCGTGCCAGTGGATACTAGGTTTTCCGGGCTTCCCTTGTGCGATCTTGTGACCGTTGTTTTAGTACTTATAGAGGTTTTGCGTGTCAGCCATCTTGCATCTTTTGTTCCACAGGGTATGCATAGAGGAGGTTCCCCTGTGGAACAAAAGAACTGCACTTCAAGATGGCTGTGCAAAGCCTCTATATCCATATTATTTTGTCGTCTCTGTCGTCTCTAGTTTAACACGTAACGTAGCCAACAGGTCGTTTCTTGAGTCTGTCTAAGAGGCGAATCGGGACAACTCCTACCCGGAATCGATAACTCGCTTCCGGCAAATGAACCTTTCTCAAGTGAGGAAATGTTAACTTGATTGCTCACGTGACTTACCATGGTGTGTTGCAGCTGTGCGTGACTGTCATGTACCGCGTGCCGAGCTCGTACAGCATGCGCAGTACACCCAGATTACTGTCAATGTTGTGTCCACCTTCTACGCCAATAAGGGATGCAACTTTGCCATTGCTGTGAGCTTCAACGATACCTGTATTATTTGTGATTTTAAAGAGCATCTGAAAAAGCAATCCACATCACCTCTGTATACCAGCAGAATTACAAATCTCCCCACACGCTTTGACAGTTGTAACATTGAGATCGCCCAATCTTTTTCGAGTCTGTGCAATGTGTGTTGGTGCATACAGACTATATTTGCCACGCCGAGGAAGCAGTTACAAGTGGAATCAAGGATGATCAATGTTGTACAGCTCTGACAGTGATTAACGCAAGTTAATTACGCGTCAGGATCATTTCGGTTTGACTAATACTGGCGATCTGTCAAATCGAGTGAACTGAATGAAGTACAGTGTTTTTGCACTGTTAATCTTTGTCTAGCCTTTTGTTTACACTCCGGTCATGCTAACTACCTCTTTGTTCTCGTGGATCGTAAATGCTCAGCCGTGGTAGCGGTCCATGGATTGATGAAAACGTACGAAAACTAATTCCTGCATTCTTTAGCTGATCATGATAAAGGTACCTAACTCGTAATTTTTTTTTCTTACCGTCGGCTGTTGTGACAAACTGGAAGTGGTCAGGGTACATATCGCTCATGCGCTTAATGACGTCGATCTGTTCCAAGATATGTAAGATGGCGTCTTTGTACTGTGAAGCACATGATGTGTAGGCTGCCCAAAACTGGCAAAGAGTAAATGGTGGGAAGTGGTTAAATTAATGACTGTCCACAGAGAGACAAATCTCTTTTTTCAGTTTGTGCATGACTTGCAGTGTTTCTGCACATGGCCTTGTGCATACCTTATAACACCATAAAAATTTGACACGTTACCGTTAGTACTGCGTTTGACAAATGACAGACGAAATCAAAGTGTGAAATCCAATCCTCTATTAATTAAATGCAAAGGTGGAGGTATCACTTAGTGTTCGATGAAATTAGCACACGATGAATATTCATATAAAGATCACATTCTATGAGCACATAGGCGGAAAATCCCCGGGGCATGGGGGTATATGTTCCCACACTTTTTGGTGATGAGCAAAGCGGATTGTGATGAATTTACAGGATTTCCCAACGACTAAAATGTTTGCTATATAACTAAAAAGGGAAAGTAGTTTTAAAGAGCCATAAATATGCCATTCTGATATAAACTTGATACACATTACAGATGTACATTGTTATCATAAACGTCGCCCCCTATATAGTGTATATGGTGCCCCCCCCCCACTTGTCACATTTCCATGGCCGGGCAAGTCATCCCCCACCTTCCCCTTCCCTATACCCCCCCCCTATTTCCAACACAGATTTACGCCACTGTATGTGCATAAAAAGTCCTTGTGTTCTTTTCTAAAGTGAATTGTCCATATTCATTCTGCCTTTAATTGAGTCACTTCTATAACTTGGGATTATAAAATGAAACTTGTTTTCCCGGCCTTGCATGATGGATTTTATGCTTTCTGCAAATGGTGCTTTGTGTGAGTTTCACTGTTACAAAGCTCAACGCACTACAAAGTATATATAATCGTGTGTTTTTCATCTTTGAAAACGTTGCTGACATTTTTATTAAAAACGATGAGAAAAGTCAATTTTTTTTTCTGTTGTGAAGTGTCTCGTTCACTTAAGTCCACCAACTTTGGTCTTAAGTTTGACATGTTTTGGCTTTAGGGCATTCTTGGTTAGCTTGGAGCTAACATTGAAAATCGCGGGTTTATCGATGGACAAAAACTAGTGTGAAATGCAACCTGATCCTAAGTAGATCTTTAACACCAGTATCGTGCTGGATAAATATAGTGGAGGCTGGTTGAGCCTTTACATTCTGATGGAGTACATGTTGTGAAAGAGCCGAGTTTCATTTTGATTTCATGAAGAGATCTAAAAACGGCAGAAGGAGTCTAACCCACCTGACCTCCAACTTTACCGGCTCTGAGGCGAGGGATGTCAGTGTGTAGCGTAGTGTGGCTGAGATCAGTGGACAAATCGATGGTCTGAAGACGGTTGTTGTACAGACTCTTTAGCTGCCACGGCAGGTCGTTATGTCTGTAGGTAAATATTACAATGGGACAAAAACGGAGAGCAGAAAAGTGTGAAACTAGGAACTTTGACAGTGTGGGTGCTCGCCACAACTTACACGTGTACATGCTTTTTTAAACAATTGAGCCAACGGATGTGTTAACAGTTTAAGAATTCTAAAGACCCTTGGGATAACTTACACTTGTACACCGAATTTTTGAGAATATGTAGTCAAGTTAAAGGCTGGTTTCGAATGCTCCCATTTGTATTGGTATTTGCTTACAGAAAAAAAACAAGCGTGCTGGTTTGCAATTTTGACCGGTATCAAGTTATTTAAGTAGTTGTAAAAGGATCGACCTTTTCCGGGCACAAGGAGCAAGTTAACTTGGGTGACCAGAGATTGGAAAATGTGTTGAGTTCTATTAATGGGGCGTACGTTGCGAGTTTCAACATTAGGTGTATGAAGAAACGATAGAAACGGTATACACGGGTCTGGCTGTTTCAGAAAATGTGGGTTTATGATCCACTCGGCTGAAACGTTTGCCTTTTAGAAAAGCCCTGCTTGGATGGGATCACCACGCCCACTTTTCAGTTTCAGTGGCATTGGGGAGATAAATTTTGAAAGTATATTACATGTGAAGTTTTGAATTTTTTGTTTGTACGGGAGATTGAAACATGAAACTCAAATGATGAAGGGATCCTGTTAAGGAACTCTGGTTCATCTCTTGTCCTTTGGTTGGCACGATTGTGTGATCACACTTTAGGATGCAGTAATTACTTTGTTGTCAAAACGTTTCTGAATTGTTTACGAATCTTACACGGAATCTTTCATATTTTGATTACGTGCAATTTTGAAGCCAGTTTTCATATATATTTCATTATATTGGTTCGTTTATTAAAATCAATTTTCGCAGGTAAAAAACTGAATTACAATGGATTTAACAATTAAAATTTAAAAAATTTAACAATTAAAACTAGAATTTAAAAAAATCAGAATTAAATAATTACAAAAATGATCAACAACATTTACCATTACAGTTTACACTCACACACACCTGTAAGTGTGTATTTGCCTGCAACTGGGGACCCCCTATTGTTCCTCTTTTGTTTGTACTTTAAATTTTTTCAGAGGACCACCCATATGTTTTGTACACAGGTGTCAATCGGGGACCCTCTGGCAATCGGGGACCTTATTGTCCTCTATGTTAAGGGTCCCCAATTGAATGCAGAAACAAACTCACGCACACACAAAATATAACTTTACTAATGACCAACACTCATATAAGAACACCACTAAAACACGTCCGTTGCAATTCAATAGAGGGCATTTCTCAAGAGGAGCACAATCCAAATATTTCTACTAAAAGAACTTATTAGATATAAACGATCATCAAAAAGTTAAAGATACATTTCCATATATTCTTTCCATATTATTTCCATATTTCCATTTTTTCTAAAATGTTCTCCTTGCAGTTGCCAGACTGAGCCAACTTTCCAGCGCAAACTTCTTCGGAAGTTAAAAAATAATTTCAAAATCCTGCAACCTGTATTGCTTTATTCGAAATGTCTCTGAACAGCCTTTTTCACGTCTGGAACGCTCGTATTTGTTTATTTGCCCTTTAACATTCGCAAATTTTGAGAAGAAACTTCCGTTGTTATCGCAAGTCGCGGTGATGGAAGCAATTGCATAATGATGCTCAATTAGAGCAATCCTGTACTGGCTCCCGCTGTGCTGCGCATTAAACCTGCCAAAGAAGTTATGTTGGAAATGCGGGAGCCAGTATTCACAGACCAATAGTACTACATGTACCAGGGGAGGATCCAGGACTTTTCAATGGGGGGGGTCCAACCAAGGGTACGTATTTTATTACAAAAAGCATGAATTTCAGGTTGTCATGTACCCCTTTGCCTTAACCCCAACTTACAGGTGACCTTTCGTTGTCACTCGATCTATTATGTGATGTTGTATTTGTGTTGACTGTTAAGTAACTGGCTAATAACTTCTCCTGGAGTAAACACATACGCAACGGCTGATATGAGCATGGAGGAATGAGAAAAATGTATGATTTATTAAAAGGTAATTACTGAAAAGCTGTTGGATTTTATGTGTCAAAATGGAGGCAACGGTCTGCTGTGTGACGTTTTTATAGTTAGAGACTTATGTAAGCATGAGATGCCTCTAAGAGGATTCGGTTATAAAATACAGTGAAATAAAATAAAATTGAAAATCAGTATTTTAAAATCTGTCCGCAGCCCCCGAAATGATGCAACTATGGAGCACCCCTCTCTGACTGATATAAACTCCTCAGCGCGGCTAGGCCTATATAGAGTACCGAAGTGTGACGTCACTGTGAACCAGAAAGTGCAGTGCAAACGAATGGAGTACGCGCGTGTTACGTATTCACTTCGGTACTGTATAGGTGCAGGACATTCACAGATTTTTTAGATACCAGAGAATCCCAAAAAAACTTTGCTTGTATAAAATGGCTAACCATTGATATTGATCTTATCAAGGTGCAAAATGTTTACTAACGTTTTCCATTAAAATTCTGACAACAGATATGCCACTCCAAAGACTTTAACATGGGCTCCATGCTGCTTGTGTGCTGTATGTCCACGTTTTAACCTTGTTCACAGAACTAGAAAACTACCATTGCCCGTACACAGGGACAGCTTTACAAGTGGAACGGTGTCATAATGATTTGACTACATCACGTAATATGCTGACAACAACACACAATGGATTCACTACTTCACATAATTTAACACGAACTATTTAAAGGGTATAGTTCCCCGCGTGACGCATTGAAAACGTCACGAAATGGATTGAGAACAGAACTTGGGGGATATAAAGGCGTAGTACATGTATAGGAATAAAGGAAATGGGGGAATACAAGAGTATAGCCATAGGAATGATAGAATTAAAGGGTTGGAATTATATTTAATTTGAATAAAACCTGGACATTTGAACCCCCAAAATTGATGTGAAATTAAAACTCTGTATAATTGAGACAGTTACTTTTTGACCCCTTTGCCCTGGCACCTTTAAACTACTAATTTAAGCGGACCTCCTTAACAACAGATGGCCTGTCATAATATGTGTCATTAAGGTAATTTTGTATATCATTTGAAGGCAAGTTTTATCGGTTTAAATTCCCCATTACTTTAAGAATTATCGACCGTAATTTTTTACATTAAAAAACATAAATCCCATTCAAAAAAATTCCAAAGCACAAAAATTGCCCTGCCCCGAAAGGGTTCCGACCTGCCGACGCTATTTTTGAAAGGCATGTAATTTGGAGCAGACATTTTTCTCAGTGAATTTAGGCATTGCGAAAATTGCCCACCCCAAATTGAAGTGGGGAATTCAGGTCTTGCACCCCCCATGTACTATACGCTAAACACAACGTGAAACCGGCCAGCATAATAATTTAGGCCTAGCGAACATCTTTACAATAGCATTGATTGGCCGTAAGGAAGAGTACAGAGTGGTGCACGGTTGGTCCAATTACTGCCACTACGTCGTACTACGATTATTTTTTACTACGTTGTTGCACTTGTCAACATGGACAGAGATTCCAAAGCCTGTTTGAAATGTGCCTCGTATCTTGGAACACGTATCTGTAAGAATAGCCATTCGTGTTGATTGCTTGCAGTCAGGTCAGCCTAAACAGGCTGGCTGACACTGCTTGTCACTTGACCGGCCACGTGTTTTAATATCTTGATGATCCCTCGACTTTGCTTTAGAACTGCTCGTACCATACCAACTATAGAAAGCTAGAATAAACAGTGCATGCTGTTATCACCAAAGTTAATATTTGAAGGGTGCGTGTTTCCCACGACACGAGTACCGATAATAGATGGGGAATTAGAGTGTATGTGCCTAATGCAGTAATAAAGATCAGGCTGATGATCAGGAAAGGGCGGTTGCAAACTAGCACCGACCATTTTCTGGTTATGGAAAAGTGGGATGAACTGTAAACTGGTGGTTCTCTATTGAAGGATTTAGGGCATTGGACAGTTACAGTCTTCCGAATAAGTTTACAAAGTTAAATGGTAGAATCAAATCTTCATTCCCGCAAAGTGTGAATCTTAATGTTAACTTTGCAACTTATACCTCAGCAGATTTTTTAGTTGGAGCATTTCCACGTCCGATTGCTTCCAAGCGAGAACTCCCTATATCGCGTGCCATGTAGCAGTGCAGCATTGTGGCCGCAACGAAACTCCAGGTTTTTTTTGGTTTGCTCCGTTTCGATTTGCTGTTTCGGGAGAGTTCATATTAGATTCAATTCTTGCAAGAATGAAGCCTTACTTCCGACTTTGTTAACGCCCTTCACAATTGCCGTGTATATTTGCATAGCAGTGGCTGGATGGGACGTAATCTTTGTTTAAAGTGACGAAAGTCTATAAAGTTGACCATCAGAAGAACGTTAAGTAAATGAGACACACCTGCGAAACCAGAGAGAGAACTTTGCACTGCCAACACAAAAAGTAACACAAACTACAACATAAATAATGGTTTTCCCGGCAATGAATAAATTTCATCAGGCAAATTGAAAAGTATGCACGCCAGATCAATACTTCACGCAGACACAAAAACTTTATACCCGAGATTATTGAGAATTTGCGGGTTTTCTTTCAACTAAATGGTCGACTACGTACGCTTTGAAAACCAATTTAAATTTAGAAAGCGAGTAATGACATCAACTCTTATATCTGGCCTTGATGTCCACTTATTTGAATGCAACACGTACTAAATAAAATACAAAATCGCTTGCAGGCTTCACTACTAGACCGCTAAATCATCGACCACTTCAATCAAATGACTTACGGGCAATATCAACATAGGATGTGTTCCAAATGAAACTGGGTGTCTCAAAATGAATGTGAACGCCCGAAATATTTGTTAATCGCGGGAGCCATAGATGGAGCAAATTAACTTCAATCACCTCAACATGATTTTGAGTGCTACTTTTTTCAGCGTGAAAAGTGTTCATTTTGGCAAGACCATCTAAAACGTAAACTTA